CAGCTATCCAGGTACCACGTGTTGTAGCGCCTGTTGTCGTTACGCGCGAGCAGCGCCAGTCGCGGAGTAACGATGTGCGGTGTGTCGACCTTGAGAAATTGTTCGCGCGCGATCCAATCGATCGATGTCGGCCGCGTGTCTGGTACGTGCGGGGGGCTCTCAAGCAGCGGGACTGGCAGGTTCCAGTCCTGGTTGTCGTCGTCGGTGAAATCGTGGCGCACACTGAACGGATTGTTGTTCGAAAACGCACCGATTGGGTGACGTGCTTCTTCCGCCTGATGGTGAGCGCGCACGGGGACGACGAGATCCGCTCGTCATTGTCATGTTGCCCATGACGTTCCGGACGGGAGCAGTTGGTGGCTGCTGCTGCTGATGCTGAATCGTTGGATTCAGGTTGCGCGGTAGGGGTTGTTGCCCCTGGGCAGGACGTGCGTCATTCCTTGCGTCTTGTCGTCCGGACCAGTTGCTCGGATTGGTCTGACGAGGGCGAGATCGATGCTTGCATCGATCTGCCAGGTGCCCGAAGTTTCTGCAAATTTTGCAGTAGAGGCGCCGCGGCCGTCGCTCTTCCGTGTTGTCGGCGTAGAAGGCGAGGCGTTCCCTGTCTCGTCGCGGCGCTGGTCGCTGCTGATCCATATCCCGTTGTTCGACGAGGAGGGCGGCGCAAAGGGCGGCCTCCGAGATGACCCCCTGCTGTCGGAGAAGCGCCTTGCAGGGCCGCCACTCTGGGCCGAGCCCTTGAAGCACAATGTTGAAGAAGATCTCCTCGGAGATTGTGCTTCCCAACTTCGCGATTTGATCGCGTAAGCTCCGACAGCAATTGATGTAGCTGTTGGCCTTCTCCCTTGGTGCCATTCTTGTCTCCAGTAGCTGCTGGAGTAGGCGGCTCGACGAAACCGAGTCCTTCGGTTGGTAAACGCCGTTCAGGTGGCGCCAAGCGTCGAGGGCTGGAGCAGGCGTTGTCTTGTATGAGCGGATGCTCAATTGCTCCGCCGACGACATGTTTCGCAGAAGAACTCCGTACGCCATCAGGGACTCGTTGTAGTATCTTGCCTTGGCGTCGTCGGTGTCTTCAGCGGGTCCCGAGTAGCTCTCGTCGAAATAGTGGAAGATCTGCGCGTTTTGCAGCAGCAGCTCCAGCTCGAAGCTCCACGTATAGAAGTCTCTGCCGTCAAAGCACACACCTGTCTTTATTTTTGATATGCTCAAAAACCTTGATTGCGCAGAGAGAATTGCTTCTTCGCTGGGACGGGGAGTTTTGGGAGTTGAGACATTGGTGTCGAGGGAGAAGGTATGCGGGGCGGTGTTGTGGCCGTTCGAGGCCGGTTGAGAGGGTTGGGAAGAGGTTCCCGCGTCGCCGTTCCGCAATGTCTGGAGTTGTTGCTCCAGGCTGGTGAGTCGCTGAAGCATCTGTGCGAGGGCGGCGGTTCCGATCGTCGTCGTTCCTCGCTTGTCGCAGCCGGGTTGGTTTGCGCTTCAGCCGTCAGATTCGTCTGACCACCAGATCCTCCGGCCATTCTCACACGTGAGCGTGTGCCGGACGCCACTTTTCGTTTGCCGAAGATTTCGGTAGTGGCGGTGCGAAGGATTCCTGAGTCGCTCTCATACCATGTTGCGATCAGAAGTTGGTCGACCTGAGGATCACCTCAGGAGGTTCGCACACTCTTAATCTAATGGTGGTGGGCCCTTGACTTCAATAGCAGAGTGAATGTAAATGCTTGAGATGATAAAAACATGCAGTACAAGGAATATAAATAAGAGTACAGGGGAATTTGAATCGGCCTAGCTAGCCATGTACTCTAAGGGGTACATTCCCTGATTACATCGAAATCCAACCGTGCGACTCCAGACAGTTACGAAACTGTCCGGGCAGAATCCTCGCCACTGCTGCTGCCTGATGCTGTCTGCCCGACGGTCCAGATGCTTTTGTAACCGTGCGACCCTTCGCGTCACTTGCGCCTTTTCGCATTCACTCTCGGTAGTGCGTGCTTCGTTTGCTGCGGTGAGGAGTGCACAGTAGTGTTTCAATAATTGCTATTCGTAACAGCAACGACGACCAAATGTTCTCTGTATGAACACGACGTTGGTGCCGGAAGCAAGCTCCTGCTGAGTAGGTTCTGAATCTAAACCAATGCATGGAAGGTTGACATTGATAGCGGCCATGGCGGAGAGGTCGCTAGGTGACTCAGTGTGTGTGACTCGGTGGTTGCAAGGGTTTTTTTCCCGTCTAGGAGGAAACTAGACAGGGTTGCAAGGAGCATCCGGTGAAACTAACATGAGAATTGCAATAGCTTCAGCATCCGGTGTCTATTGTATGGAGTATGAGGCTGAACGTTTTGATTTGTGAGAAATAGCTTGTATGGGGTACCACCGCACAGTTGATACATATGGTTCCTTCGAGTCGGCTTCAGCTCGTAGCGCACTCGTATACGCGGTCTGTAAAAAAGTGCGGTGGAGCTTGTCCTTTACAGGCGTGAAATGCAACACTTTAGGGCGCGCTCTTATTGCCTGGGTTTCGGGTCATGGACGAGGTCGTACTCGTGGTTCTACGTTGTGTTCCGAACCCCTCTGGTAGGAAAATGGGCCACTTGAGGCCTCGTGCGCTGTTCATGTTCATAAGTCCTGACATGCGTCTTTCAAGAATGTGATTGCACGTGATTCAGTTACCGTGAACCACACATTCGCTCCCTCCAGGCTTCCCCGTCCATTCAACTCCAGACCAAACCAAAAAGTTTCAGATGCAACATGGGACGAAACAGAACGGCTTTGAAATTAGTACGCTCCATGTGTGGACCGAGTGCGCCAACATCATTTTGTCGCACGGCCCTAAAATCACCGGCATGAAAAAAAAACCCTTGTTTGTGAATCAAATGGCGCAACACGATTGGCTAACGAACCAAGAAACCAGATTTCTACGCGAAATAGCTGCAGTCGAGGGTTTGCTTGCATGGGTTGCAGACTTGCAATGACAGAATGCAACCACTTTAGATCCCCTTCTGACTCATCCTTGCCACATTTTCCTACTGTGCTCAGCTAGTGTAGGGATAGCAGTAGAGTGGTCCTTACCCTCAGGGTTTGCTCTGCTGCTGGTTTGCAGCGCCTGCACTGTTTTATCAGCAGCAAGCTCCCTGTCATGATGCTGGTTTGTTTGGGGATCCTGTTTCTGGATCTAGGGTTCACCACTTCGCAACATTTTCTTTACCCAGATCCGTCGTTCCCTCCAGATTTCCGCTTGTGAAATATTTTTTTTTTCGAAGGGCGGCTATCCAGTGGATGCGAAAGCAAATACTACGGCAACGACCACAATTAGGAGGGGTGGAGGAATCTCGCCACCGTCGCCGCACTCTTTCCATGAAATTGGGCGGTAAGCGCCCAAAGAGAGACACAGTTTTCCTTTTTGGACGGCAAAGAGACTCGTTGCTGAGCGAACTTGCAAACTAACCTGACAGAACGACCGAGCGGCTCGTATAAAGTTCCTGCTCTGAGCTGTCCCTCCGAGTGGCAGCTCGTTGTCCGTTCTTGCCGCTGCTACTACACCCTGCCGATTTCTAGACAGCTGGTCTAGCAGACTAACATTGTTTGAAGCAGAATTTTGTCTGACATAAGCAGTAACTGTGATGAGCCGCATCTGCCATGTGGCCAACGCAGGGCGGTCATTTTTTTAGTCGACTCAAAAGTCAGTGAGATAAGCACCTAGTAGTAACAGGCTGTTAGTCTAATGAGCATCTGCCATGTGGCCAACGCAGGGCGGTCAAACCACCGCAGGCAGCAGCAGTGAATTTCAAGACGGCAGAGGGAGGGAGTATCATCGTCCCCATCATGACAGCAACATCAGGCAGTCCGGTCAAATACCCGGCCCAGGCCAAGGCCAAGCTACTATTACGCATAGTACTACTGGTAGTTCGATTATTACTAATCAGGCTCCCTCTGCTCCTTCCATATATCCAAGGTTCAATTATTTCAACCCGTATAATGTGAGTGCAACTGGGAGTTCTCCCCACCCTAATGCTTCTAGTACTACTAGTGTTTCAGGGGGTATTTTAGGACCCTTTAACGCGCCTAACTCCTTGGCCCCGCATCAGCTCGCCGCGTTTGCAGCTTACTACTCTGCCATATCGCCTTTTCTCTCCGCACCTCCCTCGTTCCCCCATCCTCTGCTGGACTTCCTTAATAACCACTCCGATACACTCATGACCCATTCAAGTTACCAGCAACAGCCTACCAGCACCCTTATGGCGCCTCCCTTCATCTCAGCCGTCCATCAGCAACGGCAAGATCAAGGCTGGTTAACGCCGTCGTTGATGGCATCGTTACAGTCACCACAGTCCGTTGGCATGATGCCACGTGGCTCCTCTCCGTTCTCTGTCCCCAGTATCCGTCCCGGTAACACGGTCGGCATGCCACTACCGTTTTCCTCACATACTAACAGTAGGGAAGATGCTACTAACGCAGCAGCGCCGGCAGCAGCAGCAACAGCAGCGAACGAACGACCCACTCCCTTTGCATCAGGAGCAGGCGCAGCAGCAGGAGCAGCACATGTCGGGGGGGGAGGTTCGGGAATTCAAGGCAGCAGCATCTCTGCATGGGGCCTTCAGTCATGGCCTCCTGGTGGGGGTGGTTACCCTGGTGGGGGTAACCCTGGTGGGGGTGGTTACCCTGGTGATGGTGGTAACCCTGGAGGTGTTACTAATAGCTTCTGGAGTGGTGCTGCGCCGCAAGCATGGGCAATGGGAGGTGCTCCTCCAATGGCGGCGATGGCAGCAGGGATGGGCATCGATGCAGCTGCTGCCAGGTAGGGTTTTAGAAAGGGAGGGAGGAAGGGATGAAAGGAGGAAGTGGGAGGAGGGAGGGAGTGAGGGAGGGATGGGAGGGAGGGGAGGGAGGGGAGGCCGGGGAGGGAGGGGAGGGACGGGATGGAAGGGAGAGGGGGGAGAGAGGGAAAGGTAGGGGAGGGAGGGAAAGGGAGGGGAGGGAGGGAATGGCCTGCTGATGCTCGTATCATGATCCTTACCCTTCCTGCACCTCCTCCTCCCCACTCCTTTCCTCTCCGCCTTCCTCTCCCACCCCACCTCCCTTGCTCCTCTTCCCCCTCTCCTCCCCCGTCTCCCTCCCTCGCACCCTTCAGGCCCACAGCGACGGCCATCCAGCCGTTCTGTTCCGAGTTCTTTCCCCCACTCTCCCCTCTGTCTCCCAACCTCCCTTCAGGCACTCGTCATGGCACGAGGGGCAGCAACGGCCATCCGACCCCTCTGTTCCCGGTTCTTCACCTCCTGCTTCTGCCACCGCTGCTACCGCCAGCACCACAGCCACGACCATCAACACCACTAGCAGCGCCGGCGGTTCTGCTGCCGGTGCAACTCCTGTTGCTGCTGCTGCTGCCGCCGCTGCTACTTCTGCACCTGCAGCTGCTCCTGCTGCTGCTCCTCCTCTTCCTGCTGCTGCGGGCAGTGCGGGCAGCCTACCCCCAGTGGCAGCGTCGGCACCGCGGCTGAGCGCACCGGACGACGGGTACCACTGGCACAAGTACGGACACAAGTGCCTCATGGAGCGCGAATACGCCAGGTGAGGGCGCAAGGCGGTGAGGGCGATGGTAAGGCCACAACCGGGTGAGGTGAGGCTGCAAGAAGGTGAGGCTTCAATCGGTTGAAGCACGAAGCCGCGGGCGTGACACCAGGTGAGGCCGTGTACGAGACTACGCGGGGAGGCGGGGACTTGTGATGTACGAGTTGATGCCTTGTGAATTTACGAGTATGGGGCCTTGTGCAGCATTGCGTGTGCAGGTTTTTTTTTTTGTCTTTTTTTTTTCATTCTTTGTTTGTTTTTTTTTTCAGGCGTTTTTTTGTTTGTTTGTTTGTGTTTGTGTGTGTGTGTGTTTTTTTTTTTTTCACCTATCACCACTTTTCTTCTCTCTTTCCCGTGAATGCTGCATCCTGTAGCTTGCCCCTCTCGCCTCTCTCATCTGCCTTCTCTCCAACTCTCTCCTCTCTCCTCATTCCTCCCTCCTCCCTCCCACCTCCTCTCTCCACCAGGGCGTATTTCCGGTGTGCCAAATACACCATCGGCTGCACCGTAAAAAAGACCATTGATGACGTTCCCCTCATTTTGCCTCCCTCTCTCCTCCCTCTTCCTCCTTCCCTCCTCCTTTTTCCTCTCTCCACCAAGACAATCGACATTCCCCTCGTGCGAGCAGCCATTTCTGAAGCACCTAAAGAACCCTCTCTCCTCCTCCCTCTCTCCTCCCTCCTCTCTCCTCCCTTCCACCTCCTCTCTCCACCAGGGCGTATTTCCGGTGTGCCAAGTACACCATCGGTTGCACCGCAAAGAAAACCATCGACATTCCCCTCGTGCGAGCAGATTTTTCAAGCGCCTAACGAACCCTCTCTTCTCCTCCCTCTCTCCTCCCTCCTCTCTCCTCCCTCCCCGCTTTCCCTCTCTCCACCAGGGCGTATTTCCGGTGTGCAAAGTACACCATCGGTTGCACGGCCAAAAAGACCATCGACATTCCTCTCGTGCGAGCAGCCATTTCCGGGGGTCTGAGGATAGTCTACTCGGGAAAGCACTGCCACCCCCCTGTGCGCAACATCCCCTTCCCCCCCGTTGCCGTTCCCGGCTCTGCCACTATTACTGTCTCTGCTTCTGCGGTCATTTCTGCTCCTGCTAGTGAATCGGCCGCTGCTAGTGATCCGGCGTCTCACAGTGACGGTGGTGCTGCTGCTGATACCGCTGCTGGAGCCGTTGCTGCTGCTGGTGGTGCTGATGCTACTGCTGATGGTACCGTTGCTGCTACTGGCGGTACTGATGCTGCTGCTGCTGCAGCAGCAGCTGCTAGTGCTCCTGCGACTGCAGGTGCTACTGAGTCGACTCGTGCTGCTGATGGCCTTGGTGGTCCAGTTGGTGATGGCGAGAATGGAATACAGGCCAGTCCGGGCAATACTGGTAAGAAGGTGAGGCTGCGTGCTTCTGATTCCCAAGGAATCAATCTGCGTGCTACTGCTGATGCTGCTGCAGCTGCTATTGAGTCTACTGACACTGATGGTGTTGGTGGTCCAGTTGGTGACGGTGAGAGTGGAAAACAGGCCAGTCCGGGCAATACTGGTAAGAAGGTGAGGCTGCGTGCTTCTGATGTGCAAAGGCAGGGGACTGGAGGGAAAACGATCCGAAGGTTCAAGGTGGCTGCGGCAGGGAGACGTGAAGAGGGGGGAGGAAGAGAAGGCAGGAGAGGAGGGACGGGAAGAGAGGAGGGGGAGGGTAGGGAGAGGACGGAGAGCGAGGGGGTGGATGGGCGAGAGGACGGGATGAAGGGTGAGAGAGATGAGGAGGGAGAGGGAGGAGAGGGGGGTAGAATGGGTGGTGGGAGGAGTGAGAGGAGTGAGAGGAGTGGGAGGAGTGAGAGAAGCGGGAGGCGTGAGGGTAGTGGAGGGTGCGGGAGTGGTGGGGGATGCGGGAGTGGTGAGCGTGGTGGGAGGAGGGAGAGTGCTGATATGGTTGAGAGTGAGGAAGATGTCAGAGCTATGCACAGGGGCGGAGGAGGCATGGGCGAGGGCGGAGGGATGGGGGAGGGCAGAGGCATGGGGGAGTGCGGAGGCATGGGGGATGGCGGAGGCATGGGGGAGTGCGGAGGCATGGGGGATGGCGGAGGCATGGGGGATGGCGGAGGCATGGGGGATGGCAGAGCTATGCACAGGGGCCAAGTTATGGGGGAGGGCGGAGCAATGGGCGGGTATTGGGCAACGGGGGAGGGTGGAGCTGCACACGTGGTGACAGAGATGGAGGGAGGTAGAGAGGAAGTGAGAGGAAGTGGAGGGGAGGTGAAGGAAGAGGAGGGCAGTGATGCTGGAGATGTTGTGGGGCAGGAAGACAGCAGAAGAGGAGTGGGGCGAGGGAGTGAGGGGAGAGGGGTGGGGCGCAGGAGCGATGGGAGGGGAGTGTTGCGCAGGAGTGAGGGGACGGGAGTGAGGCGGTGGAGTGAGGTGGAGGGAAGGCGAGGCGAGGTCCAGCCAGGTGTATCGTGGTCGGAGCTTCCTCTCTTCTCCTTCCTTCCTGCTTCTGCAGCCTCCCCTCCTCCTGCACACCAGGAACAGCAGCAGCAGGAGCAGCAGAAACAGCAAGAGAAACAGCTGCATAGACAGAGGCAGCGACAGCAGCAATACGAGGAACAACAGCGGCAACAGCAACAACAGAAACAGCAGGATCAAGAGTTTCAGCAGCGACAGCAGCAGCAACACAATCAACAGCAACAACAAAAGCTGCAGCAGGAGCAAGGAGGGCAGCAGCAACAACAGGAGCAACACCAGCAACAACAGGAGCAACAGCAACGACAACAGGAACAACAGCAACACGAACAGCAACAGCTGGAGCAACAACCACTGCAGGAATCACAACAGCGGTTGTTAATGCAGGAAACGCTTCTACAGGACCCTTCGTTTGTGTCACACGTGCTCTCGGTGGTCAGGCGAGAGGTGGCTGCTGCAGCCGCAGCCGCTGGTGGTGCTGCTGCTGCTGGTGGTGGTGGTTCTGCTGCTGCTGCTGCTGCTGCTGCTGCTGCTGCTGATGGTGACGCTGCTGGTGGTGGTGCTGCTGGTGGTGCCGTTGCTGCTGGTGCTGCTGCTGCTGGCGCGGCAGTGGGCGCATCAGGTGGTGCAGTTGCGTCAGGTGTTTCAGGAGTTTCAGGCGTTTCAGGTGCTTCAGATGCATGGGTTCGGTTTACTGCTGAGAAGGTTCTTACTTCCCTGGCACACTCAGTGCTTCCATCCCCCTCATTGACAGCAGCACCAGCAGCACTGCCAAAGGCAGCAGCGGCGGCGACAATAGCACCACTGGCACCAGCACAAGCACCAGCACCAGTACCAACACCAGTACCAGCACCACAAGAAGCACCAGCAACAGAAGCGGTGGCACTACCACCACCAGCGCCAGCAGCAGCAGCAGCAGCAGCAGCACTAACACATGTCCCAACCCAGCCGTTCCTCCCACCTTTCAACCATGTACCACCTCCCATGCACCCCACCGCACTCTCTTCTCTTAACCCACTCTCTTGGCCTTCCCAACAACCTCCCCCCCACTCCCTCTTTCCTAATCCTTGTGGCCTATTCCCCTCCTCCACACCCCCATTTTCCTCCACACCCCCATTTCCCTCTTACACACCTCCATTCCCCTCCTCCACACCTCAATTCCCCTCCTCCACACCCCCATTCCCCTCCTCCACACCCACATTCCCATCCTCCACACCTCAATTCCTCTCGGCCTACAATCACGCCCTGCAGATGTACCTCTCGCAGCAAGCACCGATTCCCTCTCCATACCAGAACGTTTCTCCTGTCTCGCAGTCTCTGCTGCTTGCCCAGCAGTCACAGTACCAGCAACAGCAGCTGCTGCAGCAGCAGATGCTACGCCAACAGCAAGTGCAGCAATTGCAAATGCTGCAACAGCAGCAGCAGTTGCAAATGCAGCAGCAGCAGCAGGGTGTTGGTGGTCCTGGTGCCAACCCTAACACTGTGCAGGATTGGCTGCTACATGCGCACATGGGGAGCCGTAATGATACAAATGCATCTGCTGGTTACGATGCGGCCGGAAATGTTACGAGTGCAACAGCTAATAGCTTCACCCAAGCCCAAAGCTGACCCCGTCAAGGTGAGCCACCAGTACCAAGGAATGAGGAGGGAGAACATGTGTTAGAGCAACCGTCATTGGAAGCAACGCCAGGGATTGATGGTGATAGGGAAGCTCGGGCGCAAGATGATGGATTGGACCTAGTTCTCAACCTTTGAGTCAGTAGTTAGAAAATCCTTCAGAAATTACACAGCACAAGTTTAGCTAGTGGTATGGCAAGTGGTGTTGTTGTGGGAACAATAAGCAATTGATAGAGTTTGAACAGATTTTTACACCAGAAATGTGCTTCAAAGCCTTGATTCGGTTTTGTTTATTTTTGCACTCTGTAAAATCCACTTAACACTTATTAATCCACCAGAGCGCGTCGGCTTACCGTTGATATTTTCGCCAACATGTCGCGTTCTTTCAGAGAGAGAAGCGCGCCGCCATCGGTCTCGCCTTTTCCCAAGCTGCGGGGAATTCCCAAGGGGCACCCTCCGAGCATATGCGTGCGGCAAACCCAACCCAACCATCTGCGCTTGCTGCTGTTTGCATGCGGTTGCGAGGATGGCCCCTCCGCACACACAATTCACTCGGGGAGCGTTGACGAAAAAGGTAGAACGCTTGAAAACTAACAGTTTTTCCACTGGTACTTTTCCAAGAACTTCTTCACAGGAATCACAAACATTTCCCAAAACAAACCCTACATTGAGAGAGGGGGAATCGAATGTTTTTTTCACACTGCCCTGAAATGCTTAGGTGGGAGAGTAGCTTGCTTGCGCACTCCGCCGTGGGGAAGTTCCGTCTTATCGGGTCCTGCCTGCCTTCCCCTCCTCCCGCCTGACAAGACAATTCCCTAGGAGGTGGTTTTCACCAAATAGTTTCGACTAGCTCAAGGCGCCGTGGTGTGTGCTTTTCCGTTTCTCTGCACTAGGCCTCGTGTAGGACTGTCCGTTCGTTCGTACTGTTTCCGCTCGGTGCGTCTCTGTACTACGGTTTCCGGTCAAGTTTGCGAGCTCACTAGGCTGAGTAGTTCAGAAACCAGGAGCCCTAGGTAACAGAAATCGTAATCTCGAACAAGACATCGTAATTTCCAGCAAGATTTGCAACTATCGCCTGTAGTTTCTAGCAAGCTCGTAACAGTCGCCTACTACATCCTCGGCTGCTTGATACGCAAATACTCTTTCCTACATAAAATAATAAAAAAATGGGCTGTTGCGCTTCGAAGCCCGCAACAGACGATGGTCCCTCCGCTGCGCCTAAAGCGGAGGCTGCGGCTCCGTCATCCGCCTCCGCTGCAGCAACCGATGCTGGCGCCGCCTCTGCTACCGCAGGCGACTCCGCACCTCCAGCAGCCGGCAAATCCGCGTCCGGAGGATCCAAAAAAGCCGGCAACTTGACGGCGAACGTGCTCGGCCGGCCGGCGGAGGACGTGAAAAACCACTTCACGATCGGGCGCGAGCTCGGGCGAGGCCAGTTCGGCGTGACGTATCTGTGCACGGACAAGAGCACGGGCGAGCAGTACGCGTGCAAGTCCATCGCGAAGCGCAAGCTCGTCACCGCGGAGGACGTGGAGGACGTCAAACGCGAGGTCGCGATCATGCATCACCTCGTCGACCACCCGAACGTGGTTAAAATGAAGGGTGCTTATGAAGACAAGCACTCGGTGCACATCGTCATGGAGCTTTGCGCGGGTGGCGAGCTCTTCGACCGGATCATCGCGCGCGGGCATTACAGCGAGCGCGCCGCGGCGACGCTGATCCGCACGGTGGTGTCGGTCGTGGAGTATTGCCACGCCAATGGCGTCATGCATCGCGATCTCAAGCCCGAGAACTTCCTCCTCGCCAGCAAGAAGGAGGACGCGCCGCTCAAGGCCACTGACTTCGGTCTCTCCATCTTCTACAAGCCAGGTGAGCTGGTCTTTCTTAAATCAAGTGGTAGAAAATGGGTGCTAGTCAATGCGCAAGTCAACGCGCCGCTCAAGGCCACTGACTTCAGCCTCTCGATCTCCTACAAACCAGGTGAGCTGGTTTCGGTTAATATGAATGGTAGAATGTGTGTACTTTTTTTTTCCCCACTTTGGCTCATTGAGTTCTGAAATTGTTCCATGGGTAGGGCGACGTCGCTTTTTTGTAGGACTTATTATATCATTTCTCACTTACCAGAACAAGTATGGAATGCGACAATGACAGCCACCAGTTTCTGCTTCCTTGTCTGATATTTTATTTTCTGTTCCCATCCTTTCCCTTCCACTTTTCGCCACTCATCCATGATCCGCTCGGGCAGGCGAAACGTTTTCCGACATCGTGGGCAGCGCGTACTACGTGGCCCCCGAGGTGCTTCGACGAAAGTACGGGCCGGAGGCGGACGTGTGGAGTTGCGGCGTCATCCTCTACATCCTGCTCTGCGGCGTGCCGCCCTTCTGGGCCGGTGAGTGCCGCCGTTATGGGCAGGTCAGTGTCTGCTGCTCGTAAACTCCTCAGGAAAATATCTCTAGATTACGTAACCCTAACCCTATTTTCGTTTTCCGCGACGTCCTCGACCAGTGCGATGTTCCCTTCCGCATCCCGTTCAACCCATCTCTCACACCCCCCCCCCCCCCCCCCCCCCTTTCACTGCAAGGTGACTTCTGAGTCGACTCAAAGGTCACCCCGTTCACCCCATCTCCTCCCCCCCACCCACTGCACCCCTGCATATCGAGCTCTCGTCCTCCTGTCTCACCCTCTCGCACCCTTGGTTCTCGCCGCAAATGCACTGCCGCCCCCCTCCCCTTCCTCCCACCCCCACCTCCTCCCCCCTCAATCACCAGAGTCGGAGCAGGGCATATTCGACGCGGTGCTGAAGGGGCACATCGACTTCTCGTCCGACCCCTGGCCGCTCATCTCGTCGTCCGCCAAGGACCTCATCAAGCGCATGCTCAAGCAGGACATCAAAGACCGCATGTCGGCGCGCGAAGTGCTGCGTGAGTTGCCCATAGGAACACGGGGGTAGTGTGTGAGTTACCCGTACAAACATGGGGGTATTGAGCGAGTTACCCGTAAAGCGCTGAGTGCCGTGGCCGCTCATCTCGTCGTCCGCCAAGGACCTCATCAAGCGCATGCTCAAACAGGACATCAAGGACCGCATGTCCGCGCGCGAAGTGCTCCGTGAGTGATTTTGGAAACACGGGGGTAGTGTGCGAGTTACCCGTAGGATTATGAGGGGTGTTGGGGGGGTTGCCCGCAGAGAGCTGAGTGCACTTGCGTCTAGTCTCATCGTCCGCCAAGGACCACGTCAAACCCACGCTCAAGCTGCAGGACGGCGGTTTTATTCCACCTTTTCCCTTTCATCCCGCTTTTGTTTCCCTCCCAGCCTTCATAGATCACTCCCCCTCAACTCCACCTCCCCTCCACCCTGTTCCCCTCTCCCCATGTTCTCTCTTCCCCCTCCCTTCTTCCCCTCTTGCCACGTTCTTCCCCTCCCCCCCCCTTCCCAGAGCACCCGTGGGTGAAGGTGGACGGGGAGGCGTCAGACGTGCCTCTGGACTCGGCGGTGCTGACGAAGCTGAAGCAGTTCTCCGCCATGAACAAGATGAAGCGCCTTGCGCTCAAGGTGAGGAGGTGTTAAGAGCGGTGGAGGGCGGTTTAGATGAGTTGCTGGAGGTGCACGTGGGTGTGACGAAGCTGAAGCAGTTCTCCGCCATGAACAAGATGTGAAGCGCCTCGCGCTCAAGGTGGGTTGGGTTTGAGAGCAGTGGGAAGCGGTTTAGGTCTGACCCATGGCCACTTGTCGCCCATGGCCACTTGTCGCCCATGGCCACTTGTCGCCCATGGCCACTTGTCGCCCATGGCCACTTGTCGCCCATTGCCACTTGTCGCCCACTTGTCGCCCATTGCCACTTGTCGCCCATTGCCACTTGTCGCCCATGGCCACTTGTCGGAGGAGATCGTGGGGCTGAAGGAAGATGTTTAAGAGCATTGACGAGAACGATGCGATGGCACTGTGTTGAGTCTCACCTTTCCCCTGTCCTCGTCTGATTCCTGTACCCTCACGCTGCCCCTCAGGTCATTGCGAGTCACATGTCAGAGGAGGAGATCATGGGGCTGAAGGAGATGTTGAAGAGCATCGACGAGGAGGATGGCAGCACAGAATCACCCTCGTGCCCCCTGTTCCCTGTCCCACTCCGTCCCCTATGCCGCTCACTCCAGGTCATAGCGAGCCACATGTCAGAGGAGGAGATCATGGGACTGAAGGAGATGTTGAAGAGCATTGACGAGGACGGCAGCGGTGTGCTCATTTCTCGCCTTGCTCCACCCTTGTGCTCCCTGTTCCTGTCTGTTCCCAACGTGCATTGCCGCCAGGTCATCGCGAGCCACATGTCAGAGGAGGAGATCATGGGGTTGAAGGAGATGTTCAAGAGCATCGACGAGGACGGCAGCGGGTCGATCACGTTTGAGGAGCTCAAGGAGGGGCTGAAGAAGATGGGGTCTAACATGCCCGAGGAGCAAGTGCGGCAGCTCATGGAGGCGGTGAGTGGCGCAGTGTGGTGCAGTGTGGTGCAGTGTGGTACTTCTAAAGGAGGGGCGGTGGGGCATACCATGGGGGCGGTAAAGTGTGTGTTGGGCTGACTTGCAAGGAGCTCAAGGAGGGGCTCAAGAAGATGGGGTCTAACATGCCCGAGGAGCAAGTGCGACAGCTCATGGAGGCGGTGAGTGGCGCAGTGCGGTGCAGCGTGGTGCAGTGCGGTGCAGTGTGGTAGTTATAAACGTGGTGAGGGGGGTCTGGCATGTAAACGGGGTGAGTGTTTACTCTCACGGAGCTCAAGGAGGGGCTGAAGAAGATGGGGTCCAACATGCCCGAGGAGCAAGTGCGGCAGCTCATGAGGCAGTGAGTGGCGGCCATGGGGATGTTGATTGGTCTTCTCAGCACCCCCAGTTTCTTTGAAATCTATTAAATAGCAATTGCACACAGCCATCCAGTGCCAACGTGGACCAATCTATGCAATTATCCCCCCACCCTCTCCGTTGTGGTGCCACGTGGCAGGCTGACGTGGACAACAGTGGGACGATAGACTACCAGGAGTTCATAACGGCCACCATCCACATGAACAAGGTGGAGAAGGAGGAGAACCTCTTCCAGGCCTTCCAACACTTTGACGCTGACGGCAGCGGGTACGTGGGGTGGGGGAAATGTGCACTGATGTGATGGTGAGCGAGTGGCAGAGAGAGAGTGGTAGCAGTGGGAAGGAGGAGAACCTCTTCCAGGCCTTCCAACACTTTGACGCTGACGGCAGCGGGTGGGTTGAGGCTGATTGCATGTGACTGCGAGACCCTGACTGTGATGGCATGCGGCAGTGTGAGTGAGTGGTAGTGGAAAGGAGAACCTCTTCCAGGCCTTCCAACACTTCGACGCCGACGGCAGCGGGTGAGTTGAGGCTGATTGCATGTGACTGCGAGACCCTGACTGTGATGGCATGCGGCAGTGTGAGTGAGTGGTAGTGGAAAGGAGAACCTCTTCCAGGCCTTCCAACACTTTGACGCCGATGGCAGCGGGTGAGTTGAGGCTGATTGCATGTGACTGCGAGACCCTGACTGTGATGGCATGCGGCAGTGTGAGTGAGTGGTAGTGGAAAGGAGAACCTCTTCCAGGCCTTCCAACACTTTGACGCCGATGGCAGCGGGTGAGTTGAAGCTGATTGTGATGGCATGTGACAATGTTGAGTGAGTGGCAGCGGGATAGTGGTAACCGTGGGAAGGAGGAGAACCACTTCCAGGCCTTCCAACACTTCCGACGGCAGCGGGTGCGTGTCACTGATGTGGGGCTGCGGGAGGCGCTGTGGGCGAGCTGCGGGAGGCGCTTTCCAAGGAGGAGGCGCTGCTTTGAAGCATCTTGTTTCTTCCCCTTGACTTGCCATCCATTCAACCCCCACTATCACTCTCGTTTCAAACCCCTTTCCCTACCCACCAGGTACATCACGGTGGACGAGCTGCGGGAGGCGCTGTCCAAGGAGGAGGCGCTGCTGCCAGGCGAGATTGACGCGATCCTGCAGGAGGTGGACTCGGATAATGTGAGTTGAGGAGAGGGGTTGGATGCTGTGAGTGCGCTATGAGGAAAAGGTTGCATGCGATGTGAGTTGAGGCGAGGGCTGCGAGGGAGGGCATGCAAGGGAGGGCATGCAAGGGAGGGCATGCAAGGGAGGGCATGCAAGGGAGGGCATGCAAGGGAGGGCATGCAAGGGAGGGCATGCAAGGGAGGGCATGCAAGGGAGGGCATGCGAGGGAGGGGCATACATGCGGGGTGATGCTTCAGATGCTTGTGAGTGCTGCTGCCAGGCGAGATTGATGCCATCCTGCAGGAGGTGGACTCGGATAATGTGTGGGGGATTTGAGGAGGGGTGTGAGTGTGTCGTGGGGGGGTCTGGTGGCATGGGATGATGTTTCAGATGCCAAGTGGGCTTTAATGTTGATGCTCTTATGTTGGGTTGTTGCTGCTGTGGCAGGATGGCCGCATTGACTATAACGAGTTCTGTGCCATGATGAAGAAGGGCAACCCTACTCCCGTTGAAGACAACCGTCGGAAGCGCTAACTTCATTCTAGCTTTTAATGTTGCCGGCGGGAGTATGTAATAAGTTGATATCGACGGGAAAGCATCTTGCATTAGGGTTTTTTTTCTTAGCAGTTTTAGATCAATACTAGGGTGTTAGGTTCTGAAGTACCTTAGTGGTACTGGTGACTAATTTGCAATGATGAGTACAATGGACGTAGGGATATGGTTGCTTAGATTGTCGCTGTACCGGAATTGCGTTGTACTGTAATCTGAATTGATTCTTGCTGTTCCAGACACGTGGTCCAGTCAAGTATGACGTGGAATCTCGCCACCCTACGGGAAGATATTTTCAGCCACATTGCCGAAGGAAGCTGGGTAGGGGGGGGCAGCGAACTTGCCTTCGAAAACCGAAGCTGACTCAAGACCAGCCCATGTCTGACCAGCACCGACGCACCTGATTGGAGAAGTGAACGTGCATGTTTATCCTGAATGATTCTGACTGGATTGGTCCCGTTTGAGTGTCCGCTAGTGGCGGTGAGCGCTGTTTCGCTGCGTTGCATCGACGACTCACATGATCAGCCGCCATTCGAAGCAACGCTCACGATGTGTCATGTAAAAAGTCTCGGGACGCGTTCGAACACTGCCAGCAGTGTGATGTGTTGCATAATGCATGGATCTGTGGGGGGGAGTCTGTCGGTCAAAATATACAAGACATCGCATCACATCACAGCACATCATGTGCGTTCTGCCCGTGGGCAGCCCTCAATTTCACTCGACGTTCCGCCAGCAAACCATCTGCTCCCATCATGTCCTCGCTGTTGGATCTCATCTCCCGCCCTTCCCTCCCTTCCTCTCCCCTCCCCTCACGCCCCCCAAGCCTCCATCTCTTGGCTGGATGAATCTCACGACTGTGTTCGTTCCCCTTTCACTCTTCCCGCCACCCCTTCGTTCAGTTTCATTCCCCTTTCACTTCACTCCCCTTTCAACCCCCCCTCCACTCCCCCCACCCTTTATTTTCCATTCCACTTGTCGCTCACGCGCTCTGCCCTTGGCCCATTTTTCGTCCTGATCAACTGCAGAACTACACACGACGAAGAATGCAAGGTCCTGGCTTTTCTTTGGCTCTTTGATAAGCTCGTTGTGCTGTCCCTGATCGTTCATTGCGTTCGTTCTTTTGCACTCGACGACACAGGCTTGGCCTTCTGCTGTCAAGAGACATGCGTTTGTGTAAACTAGTGTTGTTCCTGTGATCAATCTTAGCACTGTCGCGCATCGTCTATCTCTAATGGATCCGCAGCTCGTGTACAAAGATCATCAGGTCGCGAACCGTGGCAGTCGAAACCATGATGACACTCAGTTCTGGGACCAAATTTGTTACCTTGAGAAATCTCAAGAACGTTCATTATTAGAGTCACAACATCAAGGCGCTCGCCTTGCTTCCTTCAGTACATCTGCTTTGGAGCCTATCCGCTCAAACATTGTATCGGAACAACCTCGCTCGGTTGAAAGGACTAAATCGTGCGACCGACACACGGAGCGTTCACTGGACGTTAGCGAAGCATGGAGGGTTACCGCATCTTCGCCAGTGCCAAATTCGCCGGCGCGTCACTGCTGTCGACGAACCTGCCAGAACCACGACTACCATCACCATCCAAACCTCCATCACTCTGACCATCGCCACCACCGCCATCATCACACCTTTTCCCATCCACAGCAGCTGGATAACGACTGGGACAACTATTACCAGCAGCAGCAGGAGCAGCAGCAGCAGCTTTGGAACCGCCGAGTTTCTGTCTCCGACACAGATGCGCATGGTAGAGACGGCAACGCGCAACGCGTCAATCAGAATTCGCCGTCTCTCCGGCGTATGAGTAGCGACTCCGCTGCTACCATCCGTCAAAGCTGCAGGTCAAGGTTCTCGGAATCTTCGTCCGAACCGCACCGCGGGCTACAGCCGTTTTGGTCATTGCCGTGCATTCGTCCTGCGACCGCGCTACAGCCGACGCGAAGCAAGGGCCATGTGACTTTATCGGAAGTGCAGACAGCCGTTTCGCCTGTAAGCCTTCATTCCGTCCGCAACAGTGGCCGCCTCCTGCTGTTTCAGTCGAATCAACAGTCCGGGAAAGGCGATCGGTCCATTCGTTGTGCACGCAGAACATCCTCATTAAAGAGTGGCGTGTTAGAAGCAGCCGCTAAGGAAGCATGTGTCGTAAACGACAGCTTGAGCATCGACGCTTCGTCTCGCTCCAATTGGCGCAGCCAAAGTTTCCACTCATCGAAGGCTTCATCCCCGTACAGCCATGGTAGTCATGGCGTGTTTTCTCACTCGCGTGTTCCTGGTAGTGGCGACAGCAGCGATTCAGGTGGATTTGCAATGAGTGACATCAGCAGCGACACCAGCAGCGAGCATGGGAATTCTCCATCAGTGAAGCATGTGGTGGGGAATGATGCACGTGTCCTGGGAAGCATGTGATGGAGTGCAAGCGTTGAAGACTGGCAGTTTTTGCTCAGTGCTCACCTGCACGTTTGCTGCAGCCATTTCTGGAGCATATCGTGCTGGTGTATGGGTTGCTGCTGTCATACAGTCTGTAGAAATATGAAGGACTGGTAGTCATGCTTGGAAGCATGCTGCTGTAATTTGTTTTGCACCTGCTGTACATAGTGGCATGAAATTTCACGTGTTCAGCAGCTATGGTTTGGATGACATGTGTCTTTAGACTTCTAGCCTGGTAAAAAGGGCTTGTTCATTTGATATTGAATGAGAGAACTGTGATTGTGTTATGGATGTGGTGAGGATCCTTAGTGCAGGAATACCACAAGGTTGGATGCATAATGCGTCATTACTATAGGATAACGGGTCCTCTCGCACAAGCCCAAGGCTCTCAACTAACATGTGCGATACTGGTACCGTAGCACAACCAGAAGTTTACATATAGCAGACTGATACGGAACATGTAACAACTGGTGGGCGAAGTCTCAAGCGAAAAACGCGATGACGGCGAAGAACTTGTCGACTGGACGACGCGGCGGCGAAGTAGCTTTGGGTGAGTGACACTTGGCGGCGGCGACGTTTGCGCGACCTACACTACCCGACACTCTGCCTTCCGCGTCAGTGCATCACCACCACCCCAGGTCGGGTGTGGTGTGGGGGTGAAAGATGCATGTGGGCGGAACACCGCCGTTACTGCCTGCTTTTCCGCGTCACTGCATGGTGGCGGTGAAGTGGCGCTTACGCGATTCCTTCCTTATCCACCGCGTGTGACCATTGTACCTCGAGATTTCCGGAAACCCACGTCACCATCAGCAGCGCAGAAATTCGGACTTCCATATCACTAAAGTGTTCTTGGTTTTCCTCCATAAAACGAAACAAGCTTCAGTCAGGACAGCGTGAAGGGGAGAATAACTCAGCTTTCAAGCATCTCGTCGTTTGTCTTGTCGCCTACTGATTGAATAAAGAAATCGCGCCTTTGAATCCGAATTTGCGTTGCTTACTTAGAATGGACGATTCGCGAATTTTAGGTTTCGTGGACGAGTTAGCGATGACCAGCAGCGCATTCAGCGAGCACTTCGAACCTCGCGGCGCCAACGCGTTTGGCGGCGCCTTGAGCGCCTCCTGCGACAGAACTGCCGACGGAAGCGGGTACTGCAGCGACGGCGAGCACGACCGCAGCGCGAAGCACACGGCACGTATGATTGGAACTGGTACCACTAAAACTGCTAGTACGATCAGCCTTCGCTGGCAGAAGCAGCAGCAGTTTCGTCGTGGGTATGCAGAGTCCATTGACTGCAGCAGCAGCAGCAGCAGCAGCACTCAATCACAGTTCAGTGGAGAAGACGCGGATGCAGAGTGCGCAGCATCATGGGAGGAACGCGCATCATCGGATGAGGGACGCGCGGTGAGAGCGTTGACAGGACACGTGACGGCGGCGAATCCAAGCTCACGCCGACAAGGCGAATCATCCGACCCGCCGTCCTCCTCTCCGCCGATGCTCTCCCCCAACATATTCGATGAGGAGGCCTCACCAGCCTCCCTTCCCCCTGGCTCCTCGCTTCGTCCCGCCTCTCCCACTTCTCCCACCCCTGCCATTCCGCCTCCATCCCCTCCCCGCTTTTCTCCTCCGTTTCTCGCCCCTCCGTCCCCGTCGCTGTTTCCGCCACGTCAGCAGCCGTCAGCCTCCCACGCTAGCCCACAGTCGCCAGTCCCGTATCCTGGTCACACACGTTTCTCCCTTGTCTCCTGCTCCTCCACTCCAGCCGCCCTTCCCCCCAGTCAACGTAGTCAACCGAGTCAACGCAGTAGATTCAGTCAACCCAGTCAACTCAATTGTCCCGCTCTCCAGGAGGAGCTACACCCGGATTCATCGCAGCATGAGCTTCGGCCGTTCTGGTCCCTGCCATGCGTCCGGGCAGCTGTAGCGCTCCAGCCCACTCGGAGCAAGGGCCATGTGACACTGTGCGAGGCACGCGCAGTGTCACCTGGTTACCACCACCATTGTTACCACGAGAACTGTCAGCGACACAGTAGGAACAAGGAAGCGGAAGCGGTGAGAACTATTTCTCCTGTTAGTATGCGGTGCATGAGGAGTCGTGGCCGATTCATGCTGGTTCAATCACCGCAAAGAGGGATGTGCCAGCCACTCCCTCTGGCTGTCAATACCACTGGGTCTATGAGGGCCAGTGGGCTTAGCAGCCAGAGCAGCCGTTTTGATTGAGCATTTCATAGTACGGTATTGATATGCATGAGATGCAGTGGGTTTGCTTGAGCGCTTCCCAACTGCTCGTTGCATAAATAGCATCGGAGTATGTATGTTGATTCTGATGTTAAAACCAGGGTGCACATTCAACGCGGTTCGGCTTGAGATGTTGGGAAGGGGGTTTGGAGAAAAACAGTGATTGGCTCACGAGGGGCGACAAAAAAATGATTCCGCTAGAGCTTCGGGCATTTCGTAGGTGGCGGGAGGGGGTGAAATGGCGGGAGTGGGTGAAACCGAATGGCGGGAGGGATGAAACAGATTGGCGGGAGGGGGGGGAAACGAAATTGCGGGGGAGGGGGGAAACAAAATTGCGGGGGAGGGGGGAAACGAATTTCGACGGGGAGGGGGAAATGAAATTGCGGGGGCGTGGGGAAACGAAATTGCGGGGGAGGGGGGAAACGAATTTCGACTTGAAGGGGTTGAAAGCACACCTCGTAACCCACTCAGTCAAGGGATAACCTTTGATGCACATTCAGCTGAATGTGCACCCCGGTTTTAATCTGATGCATGCATTGTATTTGGCAAAGATAGGGGTTAGCTGAGGCTTTAAAACCAGGGTGCACATTCAACGCGGTTCGGCTTGAGATGTTGGGAAAGGGGTTTGGAGAAAAACAGTGATTGGCTCACGAGGGGCGACAAAAAAATGATTCCGCTAGAGCTTCGGGCATTTCGTAGGTGGCGGGAGGGGGTGAAATGGCGGGAGTGGGTGAAACCGAATGGCGGGAGGGATGAAACAGATTGGCGGGAGGGGGGGGAAACGAAATTGCGGGGGAGGGGGGAAACAAAATTGCGGGGGAGGGGGGAAACGAATTTCGACGGGGAGGGGGAAATGAAATTGCGGGGGCGTGGGGAAACGAAATTGCGGGGGAGGGGGGAAACGAATTTCGACTTGAAGGGGTTGAAAGCACACCTCGTAACCCACTCAGTCAAGGGATAACCTTTGATGCACATTCAGCTGAATGTGCACCCCGGTTTTAAAGCGACGATGCACATTTGCCACCCAAAACCCAGAACCCTGGCGAACTGTTACTGCGGATGGAAAGTGTCCGCACGAAATCCTGGTTTTCGCCAGCCAGCACTTTCGCGCTGGCAAGCCTGGTTAAAAAAAAAAACTTCTGAACCCAACACTGCCAAAAGTTGCCCGTCGCTATTGTACAGATTGTAATTTGAAGTGACGTGCCAAAGTAAACCACGAAGCAGCATTTCTATGCAACAAGTCCCCATTGTGACTGCATCCTTTCAGCGCGCTCGTTATAACGTCATCAGGGAAAAGTAACCGAACCGACTGATGCGATGCGCCCGTAGTTTCTGTCGGGCAAGCAATTCTCAAGGCCAACAGGCAGCACGAGCCAGCCAGCCAACCCACTGCTAGCGCTCGGGTGTACTTCTCTTCTCTTCCTCAATTTCACCTCCCTCGATTCCTCCTCGCTTCTATTCGTCGACGCGCGTCAACACCCAACCGCCAGCTTGACCTCTGCCGCACGGCGGCGCACACCCGTCGCCCACCAATTTCTAGGTCCAACCAGCAGCACCCCTCCCTGCCGCACCACACCACCCGATGTGATGCACTTCATTTTGTGGTAAGAGTCTGTTCTGGAATCATGGAACCCTAATTTCTCCCGCCATTTTTCTGGTGAGACGTACATGGAGAGAGAGCTTAGTATCGAAAGAAAATTGCTACGGTTATCCTGTTCCCATTATGCAATGCTTCATAGAAGGTGTGTTTTGATTTCCTGGACCGGAGTATCGAGTGCGTTCTTCTAATGGAGTCATCCTGACCGTATTCCCCGTTTCGCATTGACATGATACCTCCGCGTTTTAGTGAGAGATATCTAACGTGCCTATTTTTCTGTCGCATCGTCTACCGTTAGCGTTATTGCCCGACTTTCCACCAAGTCTACTCCGGAATTACGTTCTCTTGCCTAAACCTTATCAAATCTTCTTGGACTACTCAGTTGGTTAATTTAGATCGACTTACACGACGCAACTTCTTTAACATAACATGGACGGCCCGGGCCGTTCATCGGGACAAGGCCAATGGCCGCCGCGCAATCTAGGAATCACAGCCAGCCCAGGACGAAACCCTAACGGTATGAACCCAACTACGCCGGGAGCGTCTCGGGTAGCGTCTGGCGGGAGCGGGCGAGGCAGAGGCGGCGCCGTTCGCTCGACCGTCAAGTCCGTCAAAAAACAGACGTCCGAACGTTCAGACGACGAAGGAGATCAAACGGATCGATGGCAAGACGGTCCCACCGTTAACAGAACCCATTCGTACAGCAATCCGGTAGCGTACTCGGAAGATGACATGACGCCACGTGGCATGCCGTCGCCGTCGCCGCGTGGCGGGTATGCCAGGGGGGGTGGCGGGAGAGGTTCGGCTAGTCGGCGGAGACGGGAGTCAGGGGACGGGAGCATGGACATGGGCGGGCAGGAGAGCGGGTACAGCTCGTCGCGGAGTGCGTCGAGACGAGGACCCATGGACGAGGTCAGGGATAGCGTGGCGGCCCTTCTTTAGCGATTTACTTGTTTTCGTTTTCATTGTAGCATCCGTTTTTTATCGCGCTTGCTCATGCTGTCGCCTTCCTTTTCCTGGCGTTTTTTTTTTTTCCTCATGCTGTTTTCCCTCGCAACAGGACGAGCGCTTTTCCCGAACCAACAGCTTCGGCCAAGCCTCGGTCAGTTCGGCCCATTCCGAACGCATGCTCGACGACGAGCGGCGGCCGGGCGGGGCGCGCCCCTCCGTCTCGCGCACCTCCTCCTCCTCCTCCTCCGTCTCCGCCATGTCCGCCATGTCCGCGGCTTCCGCGCGCGATCCGCGCAGCCCCGCGCCCTCGCGCTCGAAACTCGGCGCGGGTGGAAGCGGAAGCGCGAGCGGGGGGGAGGAACAGGTGCAGTATTTCCGCGCGAAGACGATCGCGGCGGTGGGGCGCGGGGCGGACAATAAGACGATTTCGGGGAAGGACGTTCCGCGGCAGCGACTGCCCATGCTTCCGCCGCCCGGAGCTCCGCAAGTCGTGCAGGTACGCGCCGGCCTGCGAACTAGTGAATGCGTGTATGTTTCCTGTCGTAAGTGGGGGGGGAAGGGTGGGTGACTGTGCGTGTGTGTGGGTGGAAAAGGGGCACGTGTGATGCGTGTGCGCGCCGTCTGCGCCCTTTAAGCATCCCCTGAACCTTTCGGTCTTCCCGTTTCCCGCTCCCCGTCCCCGCTCCCCGTTCCCCATCTCTCACCCGCTGCAGTGTCAGTGGTGCTTCCAAACCCTAGCCGTGCCAATAAACCTGCCTCCGCCGAAGAAGGGCCAGCAGAAGCTGCGGTGCGGAAAGTGCCTCAAGGTATCGCGCTACGCGGTCTTTCTTCCGCCCACGGCGGAAGAGGACGAGGAGGCGGAAGAGCAGCCGCCGCCGCAGCCGCCGCCACAGCAGCAGCAGCGCCAGCGGCGGCAGCAGCAGCAGCAGGGGGAGGAGGCGGAAGTGGCGGAAGAGGACGAGGAGCAGCAGGCGCTGTCCGCGCGCGGAAGGTCCGCGTCAACGGGGACGGGGGCTTTCAGAACGCGGAGCTTCCAGGGCAATGCGCAGCAGCAGGCGGGGGCGGGGGCGATGGGCGCAGGGCGCGGAAGCAGCAGCGTCAGCCGGGGCGCGGGGAATATGTCAGAGGACGACTCAGGGGCGGGGATGCGGGGGCCCGGGGGCAGGCGGAGCGTGAGCGGGGCAGCGCGCGGAGGGGCGGGCGGAGGAGGCGGGGGAGGGGAGAGTGACGCGGGGAACGAGTATGGGGAGCAGGGGGGAGGGGGGATGCCATTTCCCCCTCCTCCAGCAGGCAGACACCGCAGGTCAGGTTCGAACAGCTCCGCGGCTAGCAACAGCAGCGCTCGCCAACAGGCGCAATATGGGGGCGCGGGGCCAGGCCCAGGGGGAGGCGGAGCGGGCGGGGGCGGGGAGCTAGCAGGCGCAGGTCCGCGCAGTGCAAGGGGGACGGGGCGTGGCGGGGCGTTCCCCCAGCCGCACTCGCGGAAAGCGTCTGTAGAGTCGAGCGGAATGGGTGGCGGAGGCGGATGGGAGGATGGCGGGGGGGAGAACGGGCCAGGGGGGCCTATGGGGGGCGGAAGGGCTGGTAGAAGGGGGAACGGAAGTCGAGGCGGGGACGAGGAGTATTATCAGCAACAGCAGCAGCAGCAGATGCAACAGCAGATGCAGCAGCAACAGCAGCAGTATCAGTATGGGCCGGGCAGTGCGCGGGGGGATGCGCGTTCTCCCCTGGGGAGGCAGCACTCAGGCGGATTCAACCCCGCCTCCCCCTCCCCCAGAGGCCGCGGGCGGGGCGGGCAGCAGTTTGGGCAGCAGCAGCAGTACGGGCAACAGTACGGGCAGATGCAACAGCAAGGGATGGATCCCGCGGATGGTGCGCCCAGCCCCAGACCCATGGGGGGAGGGCGCGGGGGGATGGGCGGCGGGGGCATGGGCGGAGGGGCTATGGGTGCAGGGGGCATGGCGGGGAGAGGTGTGGGAAGCCCGAGAGTAGCTGGGAGAGGGGGAATGGCGCGGGGGGACATGGGGCCGGGGAGGGGCGGAGGCGGAGGGGGAGGTGGGCCGCCAGGGAGAGGAGGTATGGGGATGATGGGGCGGGGAGCGCAAATGGGGCGAGGACGAGGGGGAATGGTGGGAGGGAGGAGAGGTGTGGAAGAGGAGGAGGAGGAAGAAGAAGAGGAGGAGGAAGAGGAAGAAGAGGAAGAAGAAGAGGAGGAAGAGGAGGAAGAGGAGGAGGAAGAGGAGGAGAGAGTAGGGAACGGTCAGGAGTATCGGAGGAGAGTGGTGGTGAACAGTGTGCCAATCCCGGATCGCCAGGTGGCAGAAGCTGAGAGGCTAGCTGGCCCCATCAATCCGGGCACCTATTGGTATGTTGACCGAATCAACTATTCTAACACTCATATCGTGGTCGTGTAGAGTGTGTCACTCTATATTAGGGTTTCATCTTAACATTGTAAAGGTTTTTGATTCGCTTCAGGCACACTCATCTCTACACTGCACCCTCTCCTCCGCCTCCCTTTTTTTATCTAGGCTCAATTCTAATTGGTAGAGTCACACTTATCTTTACATTCCTCCACCTTGACTGCTCGGTTAGCTTGGCTCACTTGGCGCTTCGTATATTCGTGCACATACCACGCTGAATCAGCTTCAGCGTCGTATATTCGTACAGGGTCCACTTTGTATTTGCATGTGGTATTGGCTCTAAGTCACTTAGAAGGCTCTTATGTATACACTCCACTCTCTCCTCTCCCTATCCCTCACCCTCTCTCCCACACCCTCTCTCCTCAACTCTCTCTCCTCTACTCCCTCTTCCGTTCCTCTCTCATCTCGGCAGGTACGACGTGGACGCTGGGTTCTGGGGAGTGGTGGGTGGGCCGTGCCTCGGCATTATCCCTGTGAGTCCTTCCTATGTCCTATGCCCCATGCCCCATGCCCCATGCCCCATGCCCCATGTCCCATGCGCCATGCCCCATGCGCCATGCCCCATGCGCCATGCCCCATGCCCCATGCGCCATGCCCCATGCGCCATGCCCCATGCCCCATGCCCCATGCCCCATGCGCCATGCCCCATGCCCCATCCCCGATGGCCCATGGACCATGCCCCATGCCTGATGGCCCAGGGCCCATGGCCCATACCCGATGGCCCATGTCACACGGCCATGCCCCATGCTCCATGCTCCAATGCTCTCATGGCCCATAATTCGTGCCCCAATGCCCCACGCCCCACACCCCATTCCCCACGCTGAATGCCCCCATGGCCATGCCCCTTGCACTCATGCCCCATGCACTCATGCCCCATGCACTCATGCCCCATGCACTCATGCCCCATGCACTCATGCCCCTTGCACTCATGCCCCATGCACTCATGCCCCATGCACTCATGCCCCTTGCACTCATGCCCCATGCACTCATGCCCCATGCACTCATGCCCCTTGCACTCATGCCCCTTGCACTCATGCCCCATGCACTCATGCCCCATGCACTCATGCCCCATGCACTCATGCCCCTTGCACTCATGCCCCATGCACTCATGCCCCATGCACTCATGCCCCTTGCACTCATGCCCCATGCACTCATGCCCCATGCACTCATGCCCCATGCACTCATGCCCCTTGCACTCATGCCCCTTGCACTCATGCCCCTTGCACTCATGCCCCTTGCACTCATGCCCCTTGCACTCATGCCCCTTGCACTCATGCCCCTTGCACTCATGCCCCTTGCACTCATGCCCCTTGCACTCATGCCCCTTGCACTCATGCCCCTTGCACTCATGCCCCTTGCACTCATGCCCCTTGCACTCATGCCCCTTGCACTCATGCCCCTTGCACTCATGCCCCTTGCACTCATGCCCCTTGCACTCATGCCCCTTGCACTCATGCCCCATGCACTCATGCCCCATGCACTCATGCCCCTTGCACTCATGCCCCATGCACTCATGCCCCATGCACTCATGCCCCTTGCACTCATGCCCCTTGCACTCATGCCCCATGCACTCATGCCCCTTGCACCCATGCCCCTTGCACTCATGCCCCTTGCACTCATGCCCCATGCACTCATGCCCCATGCACTCATGCCCCTTGCACTCATGCCCCGTTCCCCAACCCCAGGCGGGCATAGAGCAGCTGGCCCTGGGTCCGCTGCAGCGACAGGCATCGGGAGGGCGCACACGGGTGGTGGTGAACGGCAGGGAGCTGCACCGGCGGGACCTGGACATCCTCATGCAGCGCGGGCTGGGGGATGAACCGGGAGTGGCATACCTGCTGGACATCGATGGCAATCTGGTGGACGCTGCTACAGGGGAGGACCTTCCGCCTGGGCTTGGGAAACTCGCCCCCTCGTGAGTGTGGGAGGAGGTGTCTGGGCAGGGGTGGGGTTCCGGGCATGGGTGAGGGCTGGTGGATGAACAGGGGGGTGGCGTACCTGGGGGTGGATATCGACGGCAATTTGGTGGACGCTGCTACGGGGGAGGATCTGCCACCAGGCCTTGGGAAGCTCGCTCCCTCGTGAGTTTTGTAGGGTTCTGGGCAGGGGTGAGAAAGTCTGAGAGTGGATGAGCTTGGGGTGGCGTACCTGCTGGATATTGATGGGAACCTGGTTGATGCTGCCACCGGGGAGGATTTACCTCCTGGTCTTGGCAAGTTGGCTCCCTCGTGAGTGTGGGAGGAGGTGTCTGGGCAGGGGTGGGATAGTGGGCACGGGTGGGATAGTGGGCACGGGTGGGATAGTGGGCACGGGTGGGATAGTGGGCACGGGTGGGATAGTGGGCACGGGTGGGATAGTGGGCACGGGTGGGATAGTGGGCACGGGTGGGATAGTGGGCACGGGTGGGATAGTGGGCACGGGTGGGATAGTGGGCACGGGTGGGATAGTGGGCACGGGTGGGATAGTGGGCACGGGGTGGGATAGTGGGCAGGGGTGGGATAGTGGGCACGGGTGGGATAGTGGGCACGGGTGGGATAGTGGGCACGGGTGGGATAGTGGGCACGGGTGGGATAGTGGGCACGGGTGGGATAGTGGGCACGGGTGGGATAGTGGGCACGGGTGGGATAGTGGGCACGGGTGGGATAGTGGGCACGGGTGGGATAGTGGGCACGGGTGGGATAGTGGGCACGGGTGGGATAGTGGGCACGGGTGGGATAGTGGGCACGGGTGGGATAGTGGGCACGGGTGGGATAGTGGGCACGGGTGGGATAGTGGGCACGGGTGGGATAGTGGGCACGGGTGGGATAGTGGGCAGGGGTGGGATAGTGGGCACGGGGTGGGATAGTGGGCACGGGTGGGATAGTGGGCACGGGTGGGATAGTGGGCACGGGTGGGATAGTGGGCACGGGTGGGATAGGGTGGATAGTGGGCACGGGTGGGATAGTGGGCACGGGTGGGATAGTGGGCACGGGTGGGATAGTGGGCACGGGTGGGATAGTGGGCACGGGTGGGATAGTGGGCACGGGTGGGATAGTGGGCACGGGTGGGATAGTGGGCACGGGTGGGATAGTGGGCACGGGTGGGATAGTGGGCACGGGTGGGATAGTGGGCACGGGTGGGATAGTGGGCACGGGTGGGATAGTGGGCACGGGTGGGATAGTGGGCACGGGTGGGATAGTGGGCACGGGTGGGATAGTGGGCACGGGTGGGATAGTGGGCACGGGTGGGATAGTGGGCACGGGTGGGATAGTGGGCACGGGTGGGATAGTGGGCACGGGTGGGATAGTGGGCACGGGTGGGATAGTGGGCACGGGTGGGATAGTGGGCACGGGTGGGATAGTGGGCACGGGTGGGATAGTGGGCACGGGTGGGATAGTGGGCACGGGTGGGATAGTGGGCACGGGTGGGATAGTGGGCACGGGTGGGATAGTGGGCACGGGTGGGATAGTGGGCACGGGTGGGATAGTGGGCACGGGTGGGATAGTGGGCACGGGTGGGATAGTGGGCACGGGTGGGATAGTGGGCACGGGTGGGATAGTGGGCACGGGTGGGATAGTGGGCACGGGTGGGATAGTGGGCACGGGTGGGATAGTGGGCACGGGTGGGATAGTGGGCACGGGTGGGATAGTGGGCACGGGTGGGATAGTGGGCACGGGTGGGATAGTGGGCACGGGTGGGATAGTGGGCACGGGTGGGATAGTGGGCAGGGGTGGGATAGTGGGCACGGGTGGGATAGTGGGCACGGGTGGGATAGTGGGCACGGGTGGGATAGTGGGCACGGGTGGGATAGTGGGCACGGGTGGGATAGTGGGCACGGGTGGGATAGTGGGCACGGGTGGGATAGTGGGCACGGGTGGGATAGTGGGCACGGGTGTGAGGGCTAGTGGACGAGTCGGGGGTGACGTACCGGCTGGATATTGACGGGAACCTCGTTGATGCTGCTACAGGGGAGGACCTTCCGCCTGGGCTTGGGAAACTCGCCCCCTCGTGAGTTCTCTAGGGTTTGGTGCAGGGGTGAGAGAGTCTGAGAGGGCTGGGAGATGAACCCGGGGGTGGCGTTCCTGCTGGACATTGATGGGAACCTGGTGGAGGCTGCACGGGGGAAGGCCTCCCTCCTGGGCTGGGGAAGCTGGCTCCCTCGTGAGTTCCATGGCATTGCTGTGGGAGGATTGCCTGTGTGGCTCTTTCATTCCTCCCTCTCTCTACTGCTCTCTCGCTCTCGCTCCCTCTCTCTTGCTCTCTCGCCCTCTCTATCGCGCCTCCTTCTTGTGCCCCTCTCATGCACCTTTACTCCCCTCTCTCTCCCCATATTCATCCAGGCTGGAGGTCAAAGGGAGAGGGGCGGGCATGTATGTCCCCAAGTGAGAGGAGGGGCGGGCATGTGTGTCTCCAAGTGAAGTGGCGGTGGGGGGCATGTATGTCCAATGTGAAAGGAAGCAGCCGTGGGGCCGATGGTGCTCCAAGTGTTGCTCTTTTGCTTGTAGCTTGTACGGTAGCTTGCTGCTGTGCTGTGGCAAGCAGTCTAGTCTAAGTTTTAAGTTCTAACCCGTGTTTCGGATCAAATGCCGTGCATGCTGCTGCAGTAGGCAAGAGGAGCAGCAGCAGCAGTGAAGGAGATTATGTATTGGTCTGCAGTTATACATCTAGTTAATGCTGGGTTCTTGTTGGCTAGATTGTGGTCATGTTTGAGCAAGAGCAGGGCTGAGGCGATTCTAAAGTAAGGTATATGCACACCTACATTTTCTATATTGATTCAGTACCACAGTAAATAAAAAAACTGAATTCAATACAGAGCGCGCAAATTCGTTTGTAAGGCAGACGTTCTCGGTAGCCTGTAACGATAAATGCATGTACGGTACAGATTCTGCACCAGTCAAAGTCACCGCCCTGTGCCATTCAGCTTTGCCAAGGCAGGAAATGCCCCTTGCTGCTCCTCCCGTGTCATGTGGCGGTGGCGGCCCAGCAGTCATTTACGGTACTTCCCAATAGACTGTAGGACTTGTCGCGTGATAATAGAGTTGTTTTGAGACGTCTCAAAATAACCCAGACAACAGAGGCCCCTTGCTGCTCCTGCTTTCTCTTGAGACGGCCCAAAAGTACTCTACTTTCCAATAGATCGTACGACTTGAAGCAAGAAAGACGGCAGATGCAACCTGCTGCTCCTGCTTTCTCTTGCGACGGCAGAGGCCCAAAAGTCGTCTATTTTCCGACCAATCGTACGACTTGTCGCAAGAAAGACGGCAGATGCAACCTGCTGCTCCTGCTGTCTCTGCACTTGCTGCCCCTGCTGCTGCTGCTACCTCTGATACCACTGCCCCCCTTGCTCCCACTGCTGCTACTGCTGCTGCCAGTGTTGCTGCTGCTACAGCAGCTGCTGTTGTCGTTGCTGCCTTCACCCACACACTCCTCCCTTCTCCCTTCCTCTGCACCCACCCATACCTCCTCCTCACTCCCTGCCTCACTCCCCTCCACAATTCCCATTCGCAATCTCCCATCACTCCTCCTGCTCTCCCTGTTCATCCCCTTCTTCCTAATCCATGTCGGCCCACCTTCCATCCCACTCCCACCCTCTCTCTCCAAACCACCTCCCTCTATTATCACGTTCTGAAACATCTCAACCCCCGGACCACCCCCTTTTATGATCACTCCTCTCTCACAATACCCTCTAGAACCATTCTCCTTCCCTATCAATCTCCCTCCATACCTCACTCTCCCCATCTCCCCATCAGCTCCATCTGCCCGTGAATCCTCTTCTCCTGCCCGCAGCCACCAGTCAGCTGCCCGCGAAAAAACCCGACCCAGGCTCCACGGCTCATCCTGCCTTTGATTCAGGGCAGCCAGTTTGTCCTCGATATAAGCTGCTTCAATACTGGCGTCATGGTCATCAGATTCGTCAGTATGGAACGGCTTGGGGTAGAGCACAAGGGGAGAGTGGTTGGTGGCAGGAGCTGGGACAGTGGGAGGGTGAGACGCCCTTGGATGGTGATCGGGGATTCTGGGGAAAGGGAAAGGGAAGAAAAAAAGGAAGGAAAGAAGGGAAGGAAAAGACGGGGGAAACGAAGGAAGGAATTAAGAGTTCCACGAAACGGGTTAGAGGGAGGAATGGGAAAGAGGGGAGCACAGGGTGGGTGGTATGATGACGAAAGCACATGCACAGGAGGGCGTGTGGCTACAACAAATCAGTCACGTTTGAGGTTTCAGTGCGGTTAAAATCGGTGTGGTGTGGTGCAGCCAGATCCTGGCGTGGTGCAATGCAATGCAGTGGCTATTCAAACAGCGGCATTTCAGAATCCAAGGCGCCGCGCCACGCCTGAATGAAGGCATACTGGAAAGATTGACTCACTGCCATGCTGCTGCCATGGCGCCACGATGGAGAATCTCGTCAAACACCGAGCGACCGTGAAGTATGGTTGTGGAATTCTCTTGATCATCAGAGCTTTCCCGCTGGTCACTATAGCATGCACCATCGTCACCATCATCCCCATCATCACCACCAGCAGCGCCACCAGCAGCACCATCATTCCCATTCTTCCCATCATCAGTAGCAGCACCGCCATCATCAGCATAACATAGAGGGCTGTAGTCCCTAGTCAAGGGACAGCAGGGCTCTACATTATCAGTGCTGCTCCCTAGTGACAGACCAGCATCCTCCCCACACAACTCCCTCCCACTCCTCCCAGCACCATCCCACTCCTTTGCACCGCAATCAGCCCCATTCCATTCCCTCCCTTCCCACTCTTCCCCCACCCACTCCCTTGCACACACCGCTGTACCATCATCACACGCATAAGCCTCCGCATCCCTCACCACCACTCCACACCGTAATCCCCCTCCTCTTTCTCCTCTCCCCCCACTCCCTGCCCATTCCCCTCCTTTCCCCTCTTCCTCTTCTATCCCTCCTCCCTCCCTCACACTCAGTGTCTCCCTAATCCCTCCTCTGTCCCCCTCTCTCAGTGTCTGCACAAACACATCCCACTCCCTCTCATACATCCACTCCTCCCCTCCACTCCCCTCCTCCTCCCCCTCCCCTCCCTCCTCCATCCCATCTCCCCCTCTCCACCTCTCTTCACCTCCCTCGCTATAGTCACCAGCAATACTTCGATGACCCCCATGATACCCATACTCGCCAATACTGCCACATCCCCCACTATAGCCATATCCCCCATTATAGCCATATTCGCCATAGTCACAGGGAGGCAGGGTCAGGCTGGACAGGAATCGCTCTTCCACTGCTGCTGCTGCTGCCTCTTCCTCGTCCTCTGCCTCGAAACGAGTAATGAACCTGCTTCGGTTGGTGAATCGATAAAAAGACAACATACAAACGGCATGATAAAAAGACACAGCACACACGCACACGCACAGACACACGCACACACACAGGCACACACACACACACGGCATGATAAAAAGACCCAGCACACACGCACACGCACACACACACACACACAGGCACACACACACACACGGCATGACGAGTGGAAGGAGAAAATCAAGTGAAGGGGGACACGTAAAGAAGGACATTCGAGGGGAAATAAGCAGAGGAGAACGAATAATGGAGAACTATTGAAGGGGTGGTAAGGCACTGATCGTTTACTGCTGCTGCACCTGCCCATCCCGCGTGAACGCTCCAGAGAGCATTGGCAGCATGAATGCACGCAAGCAAGCACCACTCACATGGACATAGGCTCTTCTTCCTCTTCCTCCTCTTCCTCCGCTTCCTCCTCGTCCTCCTCTTCCTCCTCTTCCTCCTCTTCCTCCTCTTCCTCCTCTCCCTCCTCGTTACCAAGGCCTAACCTAACACTGTTGAAGCACAAACCACCCCACATGCCTCTCCTCCTCTCTCGCTCTCTCTCCATTTTTCGTTGCTCCCTCTGCCGCCGCTGCTGCTCCCCCTCCCACCCCTCCTCCTCTCCCTGCTGCTGAACTTCCACCAACCCATCATTTCCTTCATCCCCTTCCATCACTCCCACCTCCTTCCTCTCTTCCTCTTGCACTAACCCTCCCCTTGCATGCACCCACCCGTCCTCCTCTCCCTGCTGCCGAACTTCCAACAACCCATCATTTCCTTCCTCCCATTCCTCCCCTTCATCCCATTCCTTCATTCCCACCTCCTTCCTCTCCTCCTCGTGCACCAACCATCCCTCTTCCCCTTCATCTCCCGCCTCATTGTACCATCCAACCCTCCTCTCCCTCCTACGCCTCCTCTCCCTCCTCCGCCTCCTCTCCCATTGTGTTACCGCAATTCTCAACACTATACCCTTCCCCTTCCTCCTGCCCCTCTGGCCTCTCTTCCTGCTCTTCCCCTTCCCCCCGCCTCTCTCCCCCCTCGTCCCCTTCGTCCCCTTGCAGACCCCTCCCATGCACCTCCCTCTGCGCCTCCTCTTTCTGCTGCCCCCATTCCCTCCTCTCCCCACTCCTTTCCCTCCGCCTGTCTTCCACCTCTTCCCCACCCCCCCCTCTCTCTCCCCACTCCCCCCCCTCGTCCCCCTCATCCCCTTGCAGACCCCTCCCACGCACCTCCCTCTGTGCCTCCTCCGGCTTCCGCTGCCCCCACTCCCTCCTCTCCCCACTCCTTTCCCTCCCTCCTCTCCCCTTCCAGCTCCTCCCCTTCGCCATAATCACAGCAGCCCCGCCTATAACCACAGCAGCTGCACCCACAGCAGCCAGAACCTTCCAACTCATCCACCCGCGCCCCTTCTCCCTCCGCCCTTCTCCCACCTTCGACCCATCGGGCTCACACAACCCATCACCCGTCGTCACCCCACCAGACTCTCTCGACCCATCACCCAGCTTACTCCGAGCATCAGTCTCGCAACCCTTCAATCCACCAGTCTCACTCGACCCATCACCCACCGTACTCCCAGCATCAGTCTCCCACAGCCCATCTCCCGCTCTCAACCCATCAGTCTCACACGCCCCACCGCCTTGCTGCAATTTCTCTGCCTCATTGCCCTGCTTCCCGCCATTCCGCTCTAGCAACCCCTCTGCCTGCCGTATTGACCCGTTGCCCTGCTTCCCCCCATCCCCTTCCTGCCGTGACCCAGAGCCCTGCTGCTTCCCCCCATCCCCCTGTAGCAACCCCTCTCCAACGTCTCTTTCACCATGCTCCACCTCACCTGCTAACTTCAGCAGCGCATCAAACCCTGACATGGAGACCTGCTTCTTCCCCCCATCCCCCTGCTTCTTCCCCCCATCCCCCTGCTTCTTCCCCCCACCCCCCTGCTTCTTCCCCCCATCCCCCTGCTTCTTCCCCCCATCCCCCTGCTTCTTCCCCCCACCCCCCTGCTTCTTCCCCCCATCCCCCTGCTTCTTCCCCCCACCCCCCTGCTTCTTCCCCCCATCCCCCTGCTTCTTCCCCCCACCCCCCTGCTGACATGACCCACAGCCCTGCTGCTTCCCTCCATCCCCCTGTAACAACCCCTCTACCTCGTCTCCTCCCTTCTCCAGCACCACAGTCCCATCCCTACCTCTCTCTTTCTCTTGCTCCTCGTCTCTCTTGATTGAATCACACTCAGCCTCCTCCTCCTCCTCCTCCTCCTCCTCCTCCTCCTCCTCCTCCTCCTCCTCCTCCTCCTCCTCCTCCTCATCCCCCTCCTCCTCCTCACTCTCCCCTTCACACTCCTCCTCATCCTCACTCTCCTCCACATTCTCTCCTTCACTCCCCTCCTCACCCTGCTCCTCTCCTTCCACCACCTCATCAGCCTCATCTCGCCCATCTCCCACAGCAGTCCCATCCTCCTCCCCCTCATTCCTCTCCTCAAACTCCTCCCCCTCATTCCCCTCCTCACACTCCTCCTCTCTCCTCTCCACCTCATCAGCCTCATCTCGCCCATCTATCACAGCAAACCGATCCTCCTCTTCCCTCCCCTCTTCCCCAATCTCCCCTCCACTAAATCCCCCGGAGATGCAAACAGGAAGGCACAGCCCGCTCATGTACCTCCCACCTTGCCCCCATGCGCCCCCCTCCCTCCCCTCCCTCCCCTCCCTCTTCTCCCCACTCGCACTCCCTCTCTCCTTCAAGTTTCCACCCTCCACTTGTTCCCCTCCCTCCTCCTTATCTCCCAATCCCTCTCCCCCGTTCCCTGTAACTCCCTTCTCACCTCCCACAAAAAATCCTGAGGGTAAATCACCCGTGCCTGTAACTCCACTGTTACCTCCCATGTGAAATTTCGTGGGTAAATCACCCATGTCTGTGCCTCTGCCAGTGGAGCTATCTGCTGCCTCCCACAAAAACTTCAGACTGCGAACATTCCGTCTGGTTGGCTCTGCTTGTCGTTTCTCAGGTGTTTCCGGTGTGCGAGCCCACCAATCAGGCGTGTCCTGCTCCAGATCAGGTGGTAACCGGGTGCTCTCTAAATGCATGCCAACCTTTCCAGTTCGCTCACAGCTTTTCAACGAGTCACTTGGCCGATAATTTCGCCCATCATTTCGCCCATCATTTCGCCCATCATTTCGCCCATCATTTCGCCCATCATTTCGCCCATCATTTCGCTGATCACTTGGCTGATAATCTGGCTGAGATTTGAGCAGAATCACCCGCGAATCCTCGTCATCCTCGCCTGATTCCTCTGGAATCGTGTCAAGGCGACAGCAGGGCGACGGCCCCAACCCTCCCTCCGCCAGTGCTGCCACTGCTGCTGCTGCTGCCGATGGTGGCGGTGGTGCTGCTGCTGCTGCTGCTGCTGCTGCTGCTGCTGCTGCTGCTGCTGCTGGTGGTATCCCTGGTTCCTCTGGAATCGTGTCAAGGCGACAGCAGAGCAACGGCCCTAACCCTCCCTCCGCCATAGCTGCCACTGCCACTGCTGCTGCTGCTGGTGCTGCTGCTGGTAACCCTGGTGCTGGTGCTGCTGGTGCTGCTGGTGCTACTGGTAACCCTGGTGCTGCTGCTACTGGTAACCCTGGTGCTGCTGCTACTGGTAACCCTGGTGCTGGTGCTGCTGCTGCTGCTGGTAACCCTGGTGCTGCTGCTGATGGTAACCCTGGTGCTGCTGCTGCTGGTAACCCTGGTGCTGGTGCTGCTGCTGCTACTGGTGACCCTGGTGCTGCTGCTACTGGTGACCCTGGTGCTGCTGCTACTGGTGACCCTGGTGCTGCTGCTACTGGTGACCCTGGTGCTGGTGCTACTGGTGACCCTGGTGCTGGTGCTACTGGTGACCCTGGTGCTGCTGCTACTGGTGACCCTGGTGCTGCTGCTACTGGTGACCCTGGTGCTGCTGCTACTGGTGACCCTGGTGCTGCTGCTACTGGTGACCCTGGTGCTGCTGCTACTGGTGACCCTGGTGCTGCTGCTACTGGTGACCCTGGTGCTGCTGCTACTGGTGACCCTGGTGCTGGTGCTGCTGCGTCTCCCACCAAACACGGTGACGCCAAGGTCAAACCAGCACGATCCATCTCGTCCTCTTTAATGGATGGTAGGAAGAGACACTATCTCACGCGCGAACGTGACAGTATCGAGGGTAATATTACCTCATGTGTAATATTGCCTGACTCATCGGGACCCCTTTTTTGTTTCTTTTTTTGGAGGAAATCGAGTCAGCCTGAGAGAATCCTAATGCCTCTGATCGCCACGAGCCGCGGATCAGCTGAGATGTTCAGTGAGTAGCATGAGCGATTCACAGGCCACTGGTGATTCACACATTGCCAGCCTGCCGGACGAAATTCGCGGCAGCCAATCGAGTTTCAAAGACGGCTCAAAGGTCGAATCTCAAGGCGGCACGACCGAGTTCTGAGACGTCTCACAACTCGGAAACTAAGGCAGCATAACCGAGTCTTGAGACGTGTCAAAACTTCGGCGTCCACGGTGACATAACCGTGACTAGGTGCTTCTGCAATGTGCCTTGCGAGGAGGCCTTGAGAGGGTGTTCGAGATGTGCGTGTCGCGAAGTGCCGCGATGGCTCGTCGCGCGTTATGGGACCCCGACTACCTCCCTGCTTTTTGAGTCGACTCAAAAATCGTGATGGGACCCCTACTACCTCCCTGTGCTCGAGGAGATGAAGCAATGTGGGTGTGCCAGTAAAACGCGTGCCGAGCTATTGCGTTGCTGCTAAGGGTGCGATGAGGGTCAGAGTGTTTCTCTAAGAAGCTTTCCCGCCATGCAATCAACATTCTGGTATAATGAGCAGTGCTCATTCTCCCGCCACGCATTCGACTACGACTGATACTCCTCCGTCGCGCGAACGGGCGTCGCGGTCGCGGCACGAGAGGAAGCGACGGCAGATGGATGGCTTGAGCGTTCATCGCGGAGAGAATGCTAGAAGGCATCACCGATGGCATCGCCTCAATAGGAACAAGACGAATGAGGAGAACAAGTCATGAATGATGTATTTGATTCCGTGAATCCGTGATGACTTCCCTTCCGTGACGGGGTTGATGGGGGAAAAAAATCATATCGAAGAGACTTTCTGGCTCACAGACCTGCTCAACCGTTTCCGTGATAGAGCATAAACCTCTGCCTCGCAACAAATCTCACTCAACCGCGTCAAAGTTGACTCTGCGACACGTTCTGAAGGCTGTCAGTATCGTGGACATCCCTCTCAAGTTGAATCCGACTGCACCGTACTGTACCTACAAACAACGAGTATTGTTCCTCTTCTGCACCGAGAATTTTACCCAATCCACAGGAAACTCGCTTTTGCATAGCACAACAAATCAGTATATATAATATGATAAAAAGACGCAAGGATCTATTTTACACCTTACAAAATCAACATCATGGTTCAAGTGGCTGATGATTGAACTAAACAAAGGCTAGACATCTGGAGGACATGTAGTCAAGCAGAGCATCTGGGCGCAACGCTCTAATAGCTTCTTCACTAAGCTCATCAGGCGATTCCCTACAGCAAACGCCACCACCACCACCACAACCAGCAAGAGCATTTGAAGCCACATCAGTTGTTAGCAGCTCCTTATACTGCTCCCTCTGCACCCCACTGCACGCTGAGTATGCAGACATAACATCATCACAGGCATCATCATCGTCCTCTGCACTGCCACTCACACTCTCTCCATTACACCGACCACCAGTACCGCACACAGCGTCCCTCTCTTGATCCACCGTCAGGGGGGGTAACGGTAACCCATGACTGGTTACCAAGCTACCCGCCCCCTGCTGCCCAAAGTAACCCAGAGCCCCAGCAAACTGAACCGGAGCAATCTTGCCATCAGCAACTCCACCATCGGATGCCACGTCAGCCCCCTGCTTCCTCCACTTCCGGGACCCCTCTTTATCCACTCGGCCAACCCTAGCAGCCTTTCCATCCACTCGTTTCTGCTTTCCGCTGCCTCCCTTGCGCGCCAGCGCAGCCTTTTCCGTGGCGGAGGTGGGAGAGTCGCAGTCGCCGAAGTTGCTTCCGCTCTCACTCCGCGCAGGCACAGGCGGACATCTCATCATCCCCCGGATATTTCTTCCCCCGGCGTACCCCCGACACGCTTCCTGCCCGCAATCGCATTCGTGGAACTCAGAATACCCGCCAGCGCGGACAGCCGCTTCCGCCGCCGCCGCCGCAGCGGACTTTTCCGCCCGCGGAAGCGCCGAACCGGCGGCATCGCCGGCGGAGGCGGCGGCTTCCCCCGGCGAACCCGTCGGGTTAGTAAACGTTCGTGCACCAGAGATGTAGGTCAAGGATGCAGGACTATCGTGCTCCACGGTCCAATCGCTTATGTCTCGCGAGCTGATCGTGCCCGACTCCGACCCGAACCGCACCACCACCGCCGTGCCGCCCCCGCGCACAATTTTCACATCGATTCGAGGCTCCGGCTCGTCTCGCGCTGTTTCCGCCGTGAATCCCGCGTGCGACAGGTTGTGGTGACGCTGCCACGCCTCTTCCAGCCGCGTCCCCTGATCAATCGTCGCGATGGGCGCGCAACGTTCAACGGACGCGCAACGGTAGATGGGCGCGCAACGGTCGATGGATGCGCAACGGTCGACGGGGGAACAACCGTCGATGGACGCGCAACGGTCGACGAGCGCGCAACGGTCTATGGGCGCGTAAATGGAAATTTCCCCCGCACGCCGAGGCGTGGATTGGCGGCGACTAGCTTGCTGAAGTGCAGGGATTGCTGGGGGCGACGCGGCTTGCGCCGTGGGGGGAATCATCGATACAGATCGGCGCGGAGCAGCGGATGTAACAGGTTTCGCGGCTTCTGCGGCTGCATTAGTAGCGCCAGATACTCTACCCTTGCCTCTTAAGCTTTCTCTCTTAAAAAACTCGCCATCAGGCTTCATCGTCTATAATACAGAGTTCAAGCCACTACTTCTAAGTTGTACTCCGAAATTTCTGCCGCGTCGTGTCGCGTGAATTGGCCCCGGATATTATTTTCTAGCAACGACTCCTAACGAGCAGCGGAAGCGGCGGCGACGGGGGCGCTTTTCGAAGTCGAGGACACAGGGGCTGACGGAGGAAAGGAAATGACTGCGCTTAGAGCACGCGCAATTGAATCTGGACAGCAGAAAGGATTGCGCTTGCACGGTAAGGGACCAGAATTCTGGATTGCCGATTGTGCGCGTCTCGACACCCACTACGAGAGCTTAGGGTAATGGGAAATAGAAGGCGCCAAGCCGTGACCGCAGGGGAAATGACGCCTGGTTTGAAATCCCGAGGAGAAGAGTGCGTGCGCGTGAATGGACATGTTATGACGAGCCTCTAATCGACACGGAGATTGTTTTTCACCTGCATAAGGGACCATCAGTGGTGCACAGTACCAGCTCGACTCATTTTTTCATAGCTCGACTCTATTCGAACCCTCGCAATTCGCAACGAACGAGATGAGATTGTGTGCGAGCCGGGATGGGACTCGAATCTTTCCGGCGAGGGATGCAAGCGAAAGTGCTCGAGTCGCTTGATTGGGGAAGGGTCGCCACGCCAATCCCTGAAGGCAGCGTCGTGGCGGGAAATTGGAGTGAAATGGTTTGGTTGTGGAAATGGTCTGGCCCTCCCCCCTCTTTGCTGAGTATGGGGGGGACTGGCTGGCTCACAAGACTTCTACAGTTCAAGGTGTAGAAATGCTTGACGTCAAGCGGACGGTCCTATCAAACAAAAATTCTTGCTGGAACAAAATCACATGGTTAGGTCGGTTGTTCTCCGCGTACTGTTCACTAATGCAAGGAAATGTTCAAAGAGTTGTCCCGTGCAAGGAGGGAGTTTTGTGTCCTTCCTAGTCCTGGAAGAACCCACGTCAGAACGCGAGGTAACAGACGTGGAGGTGTCGAATTTACAGGATCCAGTATGGCGCGACGTTGGGCTTCCATTGGTTGGACCCGAATCGGCGGGATGAGAGTAGATGGGTTAAATACATCTTAGTGTGGTTTGGTATGGTTGGAGTAATGTTGTTACGGGTGTTGTTTGTCGAACAAGCACTCCTAAATGAGTCTACACCCTCTTTCTCGATAGACTGGCATATGTTAGACTGACCGGGACGCCTAGTGTAACCACAACGGACCAAAGAAGGTCCTATCACATGTGTTATAGTGACAATTTGACCCAAGGCGGTCAGTCAGGGTTTCAAACTTTATAAGATGGTACTGTCGTTTTCAAAACAGTTGGGACGGCTATTCAGCGTTAACGATTTTTTACTGCCCAAGGCTTGTTTCATCACCTCGTGCGACTTTGCCCTCAACCGAGTTATCGCACCAGCCCGCTACGTCCAAACACTGTAGCCAGTGCGCACGATGGTGAGAAGGGTGAGAAGGAGGGTGTAGTTGGAGATGGAGGGACGATGAAGCTTGCTGATCGTACAGATGCACAGTTACTTGGGCCGCTGATGCGACTGAGTGGCTGAGTTTGACTGTTGTGGTGGGGTATGTACCCTCGGAGAAATCGACGAGGTGCCCTGAAAACGGGTTTGCACGATCTGTTAACTGTACATTGTATTCTGATTTCATAATGCCTATTAATGTCTTGTAACGCACCAGTTGATGGTCCATGCCCACTTCAGAGACCAAGAAAACTGGGAGGTATGTTGGGGCAAATGAAACAAATGCCACCACATATTCTTTCAATGCTGACTAATAAGCAAGGACAGGACTTTCCTTTGAATTGCTTGACTAATCAATAAATCCAATTTCGCCTGTGGTTGAAAACGGCGGATTGCCTCGTCCGCCCGCGTGCTCGAACGGTGATCGAAAATTTGTTTCCAGAGTAAAAGTTATATGATCGACCCAAATAGACAAAATAGAATGATAGCTTTACTCAGTATTTACAGAGGATACCAACCCCATAGAGCGAATTTGCACGATCTGTTACATTGTTAGCTATAAATCCCTCCAACTCTCGGCGTCACTTCACATTTTCAAAGTTGTCTTTCACCTCACCGTTTCTTAGAACCTAATGTGCAGAGGTTCTAGCGGGCACGAGCTGTTGATCTGCCCTCCCCCTGCATCAGTGTCAAATGGCAACAGCATGCAGTGCTCCAACAACCACCACACTTTGCAAACACTGGTCGCATGTTCTGGCGATAGTTGCGCTCGTACTACTGGGTGGGGCAAGGGTGTTAGCCAGAATATACGGTACAAAGTTTAACCGTGGAACGATAAGTTTTCGTTAGCCTTGATGTTTGGTGCATGTCAGATGATCCACAATTTTGTCCTCCGCACGCACGCAATGCAATTATGCAACGCACTTCACCTTCGCCTGGTGCAAAATCGCCGGGATTGATTGGTGCCAGACATAACTTCCCCTGCATGAAATGAAAACTTTTCGCCACCGTTAAGCGGGTGGGCGGGAACAGCAAGAGGTTCGCAACACCACACCACACCACATCCCTCCGAGGAAACCTGTTGCCCGTGAGCCCCGTTGCTGCTGTTGCTTGCATAAAAGGGGTGCTGTTGCTTACAGAAAAAGGGTGCTGTTGCTTCAGAAAGGGGTGCATCCGTACCGTACAATTGATGCCTGTTTGAGCCCCTCCCGGTTGCCTTGTGAAGGGGGCGTATAAGCTGTAACGAGCATTTCGCATAAGTTTCGTCAATTCGCAGCTAGCTAAAAAAGATTCGCAGGTGCTTATAAACAAGATCTGTTACCTTATTTGACTTCAGTCCCTTCTGCTTGACCTCGGTCTGTTCGTTACTATTGGTTGATAACCACGCGACGCGCTTATAACGTGGGAGCAACGGGCTGGGGAAACAACCTCGGGTGCAGCGTTTCCATCCGGCGCAAGGCAAATTCGCGTGCACTGGTTGGGCATCAATTGTACTGCCAGACCGAGTGCAGTGCTGCCCCGATTGGTTATTCGCTGTTCACGAAACTCCAAAATGCCTAAACATGTACATTGTGGATGCCTGAAAGCAAGCTGGCTGGAGGTGGGGCCGACGCGGCTCGACGTGACCGCTGGTGGTTGGGTGGGGGGATGCGATCATGCGAGGCGAGACACTGCAGTCAAAATAACGACTCCTCCCCGAGCCGACAAGGTTTGACAAGGAAGCAAGGGAGTGAACAAGGCAACACACCACACCACACCACACCACCTTTCCTCTTTCTGTCTAGGATCATGTGACACGTCAAGGAGCGAGTAAAACACGTTGTACCGCATTAAAACAATCCGATCAAAACGGCCAGGTTGTGATACATCCAGTTCTTTGGGAAGGTGCAATGGCTAAGTGATCAATAATTTGTACAGATCTGTTGACAATAAAAATAACGTTCACAGCTCTGGCCGAAGTGGCATCAGTTCCTACAGGAACATCACATCCAATACGTACAACACCCAGCACTGCCTAACGGCCAGGCGCACAACATCGTTCTGACACTACGCAAAAAATCAGCCATTGTGTGATGCCTCCCCGACCTTACAAAGAACATACACCACACGACTTAGGACAATTCGCATTCATGTACTCCTGGTTCTTGTCACACTCGCCCTGAGTCTTCCAATACACGCAGTGCTGCGCTTTGTCCTCACACGACCCATCCGAGGGGGGTGCTACAGCCGGGGCTCCAGAGGGGGTGTAGAAGGCATCCACACGGATCCACTTTGTTGCGGACCATTTTTCGCCGGAAATTACCGGGCAGCCCGCGTGAAGGGATTTGAGGTCGAGCTCGGCGGACGGGGTGAGGGAGAAGAAGAGGAGCGCATCGCCTTTGATTGGCTTGGCTGCCACACCCTGCTTGCCGCACTCCGACCACGTGTCGTCCTTCTCCACAGGGTCCTGGTATGGTGCAGATACAGACGAATCAGGACATCTTCGAATCGATTCAGCAGTCATCAGAGACATACTTTTGTTTCCTGTGTCCTGCACAGCATTGCAGATACCCTCTCACTCACTCTCGCTGTTGCACACAACCCCCCTCCCTCAGCCCTTCTGTACTGCACATACATACCTTAGCATCTGGGAACACTGTTTCGCCCCCCACCAAGCCCTCGGTAAGGAACATGAGCACCGTGGCATAGCAGTGGCCCCTCTGCTGTCCCTGACCCTTCGCACTCCCCCTGCCCCTGCCCCTGCTTCACACATTCACACCCCAGCCCTTCTAATTCCTACCTTAGCATCGGGTAAGACGGTTTCGCCCCCCACCATGCCCACTGTGAGGTACATGACCACAGTGGTGTAGCAGTGGCTCCCTTGCTGCACCTGACCCTGCTGCCGCTGTCCCTGCTGCCCCTGCCCCTGCTGCCCCTGTCCCTGCTGCCCCTGCCCCCCTGCTGCCCCTGCCCCTGCTGCCCCTGTCCCTGCTGCCCCTGTCCCCCCTGCTGCCCCTGCCCCTGCCCCTGCCCTTGCCCCTGCCCTCGTCCATACCCCTGCTACTGCTGCAGTTAACAGAATGTGAACAGAATTGAACTTCAGAAGCACCTGCCCCGACCTTGGCGTACGGAAACACTGTTTCACCCCCCATCAAGCCCTCTGTGAGGTACATGAGCACGGTGGCGTAGCGGTGGCCGCCCTGCTGCCCCTGTCCCTACCCCTGCCCCTGCCCATGGTTCACCCCAGCTCTTGCAGCACGTACCTTAGCATCTGGGAACACCGTTTCGCCCCCCATCAAGCCCTCTGTGAGGTACATGAGGACCGCGGCATAGCGGTGGCCTGTCCCTCCTGCCCCTGCTGCCGACATAGAGTAGTCTTGTGCTATCCACAAACCCACCCTGCACGTACCTTAGCATCTGGAAACACGGTTTCGCCCCACATCAGCCCCTCTGTAAGGTACATGAGCACCGTGGCATAGCGGTGCTTACCCTACAGCCCCTGCTGCCCCTGCCTTGGTGCCCCTGGTTCCCCTGCCCTTTAAGGATAACGAACCTCTCCTGCACATACCTTGGCATCTGGGAACACTGTTTCGCCCCCCATCAGCCCCTCAGTAAGGTACATGAGCACCGTGGCATAGCGGTGGCCGCCCTGCTGCCCCTCCTTCTCAAAGAAGTCGTGGTGTGCCTCGTACTTCTGCCCCTCCTGGTATCGCAGCACCTGCATCGCCTCCTGGTTCTCTGGACATTAGGAAAGAGAAAAAAAGGAGCAAAAACATGAGATTCATTTGTCACACCTTTGCACTGTACTGCACTGCACCACACCGCCTCTTTCTCGAAGAAGTCGTGGTGTGCTTCGTACTTCTGCCCCTCCTGATACCGCAGCACCTTCTTCGCTTCCTGAGCATGGACGGAAAAAGAAGCTGCAAGATAGGTTTCTCTTTTCAGACCTCTGCACCGCACCGCATCACACTGCACTGCACGCTTCAATGATGCTAGACTGGCAGAGAGGAAGGGCAATCACGGATAGAGCTACAATGATATTGAGGTCACTCTCTTGTGAGGTGCCTCAAAAGAGAATGCAATCACGGATACAGCTACTTGTACCTCGATCAATCAATCATGTTGTGGTCACTTCCCGTGAGCGGAGAAACTAACAGAAGAGATTGCCTTGCTGACGTCACTCACCAACAGGGAGGAAGGTCCAGGCGGCCAAGCGCTGCTCAATGGCCTTGATGACGTCATCCTGATGTCCAGCCATGCACCCATCCATACAACCATGCATCCATGCAGCCATGCATCCATACATCCATCATCCATGCAGGATTGGACCCATGTGACCATGGAGCGAGTAAGATGAAAGATGAAAATTGGGGAGACGGAGTAGAGGGAAAGCGAAGCGGGGAATGAAGATCGGGCCGTTTAGGGGCGAACATGGAAGCTTGCGGGAAAGTAGGCAGGACAGGAGCTGCAATCTAACTTTCGAGACGTCTCAGAGGGGGGTTGGGAATGGACGGGGAACTGTGGGAGACGAAGTTCAAAGCTAGCGTTCCCGAAACCCTGCAACCAAGGCATACCAACAGCACGACGGCATACCAACAGCACGACGGCATACTGTGCGCTAAGCTGAGAAATCTCAAGAGACATGTCATGAGCACCACATACCATCACATGCCGTGAGCACCACATAGCATCACATGCCATGAGCACTGCAAACCATCAGCAAACCACCATCAGTTAAAGGGGCTCATCACTCGTGGGAAGAGCAGCTCACAGCCCAGCCCAGCCCGGCCCAGCCCGGCCCAGCCCGGCCCAGCCCGGCCCAGCCCGGCCCAGCCCAGCCCAGTCCAAACAGTGTAAGCCCCCACCACACCTGCTGGAAGTCCAGGAACGTGCCGAAGCTCGTCACTCAGAGGGAATAAGCAGCTCACAAGAACGTGCCGAACCCCCACCCCCCTTCACCCCCCTTCACCCCACCTGCTGGTAGTCCAAGAACGTGCCGAAGCTCGTTCGCACATCATCCACGTTCGTGCCCTCGCCCTCCCGAGCCACCACCTCCGACCGCTCCAGGCGCGGCCGAGCCTGGCGGTGAGGTTTGGGGAACAGATGAGGGGCACGCGACAGGTGAGAGGTGGGCAGGTGAGAGGGGTGGTTGGGCACGTGGGATGTGGGCAGGTAAGATGTGGGCAGGTAAGATGTGGGCAGGTAAGATGTGGGCCAGGTAAGATGTGGGTAGATGAGATGCTTGAAGCCAGGGGGGTTGTTGTAGTGGTCTCAGAAACTTGTGGAAGAGAAATTTGAGGCGCCTCAACTTGTGGGGCCTTTTGAGGCGCCTCACAACACAACTCAGTCTCACCAGGGATATGATGTGGTCGCACTCCTCTGGCGTCAGAAAATTGCGGTAGAGGAAAGCCCTGACGGAGGTTGCACAATTGTACGGGTGGAGGTATGGGGAGGGTGGTGGGTTTTTGAGGCGCCTCAAAGGTGGTGGGAAATGCCTTCGTGGAATTGTCAAAAAGCCCTGGTGGTGGTAACATGAGTGAACGAGGGATGGGGAAGGGGGAGGGCGAAGGAGGGATGTGGAGGTTGAAGGAAAAAGAGGGATTCTGAGGGTCGATGGAGAGAGGAGGAGGGATGTGGATATTCTGAAGCCTGCCTAAAAACGCGGTTGAAGAAAAAGAGGTGACGGGATTGGAGAGACTACATCGACAGCAATAACGGCTAGTGGGATTAAATTGAAATCGCGTATGCTTCATACTGTTTGGGAGCGCCTGACAGGCAACAGATCCTTCCATACTCTTCCCGGACGGGCACATATTCTTCCCAGAGAGGCACAAATTCTATCATGGCTATAAGCAGTTAGAAGTTTCTTCATTTTGTACCTTGGTTTCCACGAAAGCACGGTGACTCGCGGTTCTGTAAGGTTCCCGTCGGCCACTGCGGGATTTATCGCCACTCCGAACCTGGTTGACGGGATATGACAATTCGTGGTGAAACATGATGGGGTGGGGGACGGAAAATAGTTATAGCGGTTGGACATATGTATGATACTAGAACAGATCAATTTCCGAAACGCGTGTAGGAAACTTTACAGGATAGTCCAGTGTAACTTCTGCTGCTGTAACATGCGACAATACGAGCCAAATTTCAGCTGTAATTGTAAGAAACGGAATTCGATCCTTACTTGTCCGCCTGCCATCCAGGATACGCCTCAGACTCCGCCTGACATGAGCAAAGTCTCGGCCATGCTGCGCAGATAACGGCGAGGAGCAGCCATAACCGCTTGGCTTCCATAACGAGAATCGTATGAGTGCACTCGAGAAGTTTCAGAGGAGCGTGGCTGGGAAAATACACAATAGGGAAAATGACATAGATGCTCGCAGTCTGGGAACGGGAGAGTGGAGAAATGCTGGAAAAATAGTCGGCTGAATTGAACTCAGCTGAATGCTGTGGACTAGATGAGATAGAGCAGATGAAGGGCGCAGACATTTACTCTCTGCAATCCACTTTCATTCGGTTGAGTGAGATAACGTCTGTATTTCAGAGGGTTCTGATGGGGTTCCGGTGTCATGTCCTGGTGTCTTGAGAATCCAGGGGGGAGGAACCTGGCATCGCGAACTAACTCGGGTCATCTATAGCTCTTCGCGAACTAGTTTCGCAGTTCCCGAGAATCTAAGGTGGAGCGAGAACAAAGCTGATTGGTCAATATGACTTGTCTGCCTGGATCCACCAAACGAGAAGCGAGAAAGCGTTCTTCGTCAAAATCCCCGCGAAGAACTGAGAAAGTTACAGGCTCATGTGCAGTCGCCTAAACCTTGGAATCTTCACGCCTCACCATCACCACTCCAATGCCAGTTCACCACAGGAGGTTGGTACAAGAGTGAAAATGAACCGGTTTGCCACGCAAACTATCTCACTCAACCGTGTGGCATGCCATCCAACCATCAGCTCAGCTGCAGTCGTGTTCCGCCCTAGTCATCAGTCACTTTCACACATTCCGTACCAGAGCCACATCAATGGCTGGCTGCCATTTCTTGTTCCTAGGCATAGACTCTTAGTTGCAATAAATAAAGCGTTCTCATGTTCGGATTACTCATTCAAGTAGTCGCTCCTCGTCTTTTCTGATTCTCGTTATTAGTGGAGCAAGAAGTTCGTCGAGCGTTTCACAAGTAATCTGATAGCGCGTACGAAGCTGTTCCAAAATGCCGAAGAGGCATCCTGCTCTCGAATTTCTTCTTCCATTCTTCCTCGCGGCTGCTTCAGCGTTGGCGTTATCAACCGATGAAACGCAAAAAGGGTAGTCAGCTCGTTATTTTCGCCGGTTAGGGTTATAACCTCTGCTGACATGTTAATCCACCAACATTGGTTCAGGTTTCTGGCCACCTCTCTAGACTGCGTCATTTGATTTTCAGAGAGGACATCGCATTCGTGATATCTTAATGTAGTAGACTGTATTTTCTTAGTCTCTGTCGACCATTTCCTGACCATACCTGCTGACCTCACGCGGCTGTAAAAAGGATGCGACGAGATCTCTTGCACTATGAAAGTAAACACGTGTCTAGTGTCCTTGAATTGATACTTCTAACACGTCACGTGTCCTTGCAACCCATCGTGTAACACGTGTGATCCCCTACAGCACCTTGTCAGCGCCGGAACTGAACATCCCGCCAGATTACATTCCGGACCCCTCTCGAATCAAGCAGCTCGCATGGAAGCCCAGGTGAGTCACAGAGGCGTTTAACGGGGTAGACTATGCGGGGGATGTGGGAGATGCTGGGTGGATGCGGGGTTGGATGGGGGGATGAATGTGGGGATTAATGCGGGGATACATGTGGGGACGGTTTGGTCCTGAGCATTTCTCGCCATCCCTCCAGACCCCTCCCTCCTCTCAACACCCTGTGTTATTTCGATCCACAAATCGTGAAGGGTTTTCCGTCTCCTCGGACTTCCTTTAACGCCTCTTTCACTTAACCCCCTACACATCCCTCCACCCACTCCACACTTCCCATCCCTCTCCCCATACCCCTACCCCTGCTCTCGCTCCCACACTCTCCCTCCGTCACCCCCCTCCTCTAACCCTCCTTCATTGCGTTCTCCCCCCCCCCCAGGGCCTTCCTCTATCCCAATTTCCTCTCTGCTGCGGAGTGTGATTACATCGTCAACATGGTATGCTATCACCCTCCCACACCACTCCCTTTCGCCTGGCCGCACCTTCTTTTCTCCCCTTTCCTTGTTCTGTCGTTACATCTTCTGCATAATTTCACCCCGGCCCACTTCACTAATTTCTTTCCATCTTCCCTTCCTCTCCTTTACCGTCTTACCCCCACCTTTTTCTCCCCATCTGAACTCCTTTGAATCGCTCCGTGCTTGTAGCTGCTCTTGCCGTTTTCTCTCAACTCTCCGGTCCCCCCCCGCTTCCCTAAACCCAATCTCTGCTTTGTGTCGGCGCCCATTCAAAACCGCGAAGCACCGCACTGTACCCCTTTGTGACGTCCGTCCCTGGATGGACGGTGTCATCGCCTATCGCTTCTGCGTTCAGCACTTTGAACACCCGCTTGGCTCATGGTGGTAGTAAAGAGAGGGAATACATCAATCATTCTCATCTCACCGCTTCGTGATTCTCTGCACCCCTCCCGTTCTGTCTGTCCCTCTCCCCTCCCTTTGCTCCCCCTCTCCCCTTCCTTTCCGTTCCCTGTCCCTTTCCTTTGCGCCCCCTTTCCCCTCTACTTCCCCTGTGGTTCTCCCTGTGCAGTCACGCCCGCTAATGGAGCGGTCGACAGTGGTGGGGCAGGGAGGGAAGAGCGTGGTTGACACCATCCGGACCAGCAATGGCTGCTTTATTGATAAGTACAAGGTGAGACGAAAGGGCCGTGTCATTTTAGCACAAGGTGATAAGAAATGACTGCTCTATTGATAAGTACAAGGCGGCAAACTATTGAGAAGTACACGGTGAGACGAGCGATGGCTGCTTTTCTGAAAAGCACAAGCTCACCTCCCCCCCCCCCCCCCTCCTCTCACACTCGTTCCTTGCACCGCCTGACTGCCCTCTTCCACCAGGACCTGATTATCAAGCTCACCCCCCTCCTCTCACACTCCCTCCCGTGCTCTCACCTGTCTCCCCCGATGGCGCCACCAGGACCTTCCTGGTGGCGCATTAGCGACTGGACCTTCCTGCCCCTCGGCAAGGCAAGCCTACACGCCCCTGTCTCTCACCCTCGCTTCCGTTCTCTCACCTGTCTCCCCCCCTGTCACCACCAGGACCCGGTCATCAGGCGCATAGAGGAGCGCAATGGCGACTGGACCTGCTTGTGCCACTGTTAAGAGTATTCTCACACGTGACTCTTGCACACCTCCCATGCGCGGCCTGTTCTTCCCCCCCCTCTCGCTGCCTGGCGCCACCAGGACCCGGTCATCAGGCGCATAGAGGAGCGCAATGGCGACTGGACCTGCTTGTGCCACTGTTAAGAGTATTCTCACACGTGACTCTTGCACACCTCCCATGCGCGGCCTGTTCTTCCCCCCCCTCTCGCTGCCTGGCGCCACCAGGACCCGGTCATCAGGCGCATAGAGGAGCGCATTGGCGACTGGACCTTCCTGCCCCTCGGTAAACCCCTCCCTCCATGCCCCTGGCTGGCTCTTGGGTGTGGCACGGGCACGGGCATGAGCATGGGCATGGGCATGGGGATGGGAATGGCATGGGCATGAGGATGGGAAAGGGCATGGGCATGGGAATGGGCATGGGGATGGGAATATGCATAGGCACGGGAATGGGGATGGGGTTGGGATGGGGATGGGCATCTGAAGACGAATTCGGCCATGAGTATCGTGTCTGCCAACTTTATGCCAGCCAGCACAGCGCAACAACCTGCTGATAACAAACGTCTGGACGGGGGCAGAAGCTTCACGAGCGTCGAGCGGACGCACGCACGCACGCACCACCCGAACCCCTGGTGATATCGCATTACCAGCCACCATTCGTCCTACCCGCCATCCACAGGATAAGTCTGCATCTGCTGCAGCAGAAGCAATACGAGTTTTGAAACGCCTGAGAAATCCTCCAGCCCACTTTGGCTTCACGAGCGCAAGTTTGCGGGTGCTGCAGTGCCAGCCAGCAACCCTGGGCACGAGTGTCTGGATCAAACCCTGTGCCTCCTCGCTCAAACGTCCCGGTTCTGTCTGTGGTCTCTCTCTCCTCCTCCCCTCCTCCTCCTCCTCGCTTCCCCTCTTGGACTCCGTCAACCTTTTTTCGCTCCCTTCTTGGGGGATCCGCATTGGGGGTACTCACTCCCTTCTTTCAACACCCCCAATCCCCACGCGGCCAGCCAACCAGGAGGCGATGCAGGTGCTGCAGTACCAGTCCGGGCAGAAGTACGGAGCGCACTGGGACTACTACGGTGATAAGACCGCACAGCCTTGTTGACCACACTGCCAGCTCAGGGACTAGTGTGGATGCGTTTCCTACTTCGAATCTGTCCCTCTTTTCCTCTTTCTCACTCCCCATTCTCACTCCCTTCTGCTCTCACACTCCTCCTTCCGATCCCCACGTTGCCAGCCAACCAGGAGGCGATGCAGGTGCTGCAGTATCAGTACGGGCAGAAGTATGGTGCACACTGGGATTACTATGATGATAGTGATGATAAGACTGCACAGCCCGGTTGACCTCACTCGGGCAGTAGTGTGCCTGCTGCGTCCCCTTCTTCTACCCTGTCCCTCCTCTCTCTCAGTCCTCATTCTCACTCCCTTCTGATCTCACACCTCGGGTCTCACACCCCTTGTCCCAATCCCCACGCGGCCAGCCAACCAGGAGGCGATGCAGGTGCTGCAGTATCAGTACGGGCAGAAGTACGGTGCGCATTGGGACTACTACGATGATAAGACCGCGCAGCCGGGCGGACCCCGATACGCCACTGTGCTCATGTACCTTACCGACGTGGTGAAGGGCGGGGAGACCGTGTTCCCCCAGTCCGAGGTGAGAAGCTTTTGCAGTGGAAGGGAGTTGAATGCACTTGCTGCAAGATACGCCACCGTGCTCATGTACCTCACTGACGTGGTGAAGGGGGGAGAGACCGTGTTCCCCCAGTCTGAGGTGAGCGATTAACGCTGTGAAACGGAGTGGACTGTACTGTAGTCTGCTGTTTGATGCGCCACCGTGCTCATGTACCTCACTGATGTGGTGAAGGGCGGGGAAACAGTGTTCCC